CCCGCCTTTGTTCTCGAGTCTCGATCCGATGGACACCTAACAGTGGAAAAAATGTTTTTAAAATTAAAAAAAAAAAGGGGCCCAGGCAAACGACAAGCGAGTTTTATCATATGCCATCGCATGTGCGTTAAGACTATCCAGACAGCTTAGCATTACACAGAACATCAACAGTCGTTTCCTATTTTTCGATAACACACAACAAGTACGGAACAAGTCTAAATGATACGACGCTACTTTCGTTACAGCCTCTCGATAATATAAGAACAGAGAATAACTTTTGGGATATAAAAGAAAATGTCATCGATCGTCCGTCCGTCCGTCCGTCCGTCTGTCTGTCTGTCTATCTGTCTGATGGTCCCTCCATTCACTCCAAGCCCATAGCGAACGCCGCAAGGACCCGTCGCACTTCGAACCCACCCAGACCCCCAGCCGTATACACGACCTTACTCGTCTCGAACCCATTAAACTGGCTCGCCGCGCAGATAGTATACGCGCCCATATTCTCAAACGCGAGCCAGTCCCCAACCTGGAGAGCATCAGGCAGCATCGTCGACGTGCAGATCCGATCGATAGAATCGCACGTCGGCCCCCACACGCTGCTCACCGACTGCGGCTCCCCAGGCGGAACATGGAACGACCCGCCCATCGATAACACATCTGGGCTCACCGTCTGATGGTCGAACATGATACAGTTAAAGGCCCCGTATACACCATCATTGATGTAATCTGTTGGCAACAAAAGCCATTTTATCAGAACGCCGCCCCACTATTCGGATGTGCAAGGCTGCACCCAAAAAAAAAAAAAAACTCACACATTACAGAGGGTTCTTGGGACGAATCGTCGTCGCCTTTCACGGCAGCACCATCCATAAGAGGTGCACGCCGAGCAATGACGTTCGTCGCAAGAGTGAAAGCCCTCGACACATAGAACCTTCCAGGTTCCGCAATGATTTTAAGGTCCCTACGATCAGGAAAGTACTCGTCAATCGCTTCGGTCAGATACCGCGCCGCTTGCTCAAAAAGCGCATCCTCAAAACCCCCACCCACGTCGAGGAGACTGAAAGTGTACCCAGCGTCTTTGCCCATATCAAAGACCGCGCGGGACCGCATGATAGCGTCAGTGTACACAGAAGGATCATAGCACCCACTCCCGACATGGAAGCTCACCCCGACGACATTGAGGTTGAGCTCCTTAGCCCTCGCCAAGAGCCCCGGCACGCTAGCGAGCGGTGCTCCAAACTTGACACCAAACGCACAGATACTTTTCGAATCATCCGCGAGGATACGGATGATGAGCTTGGCGCGGGGGTGCGCGCGCGCCACTTTGTGGAGCTCGTCCGCGTTGTCGAACGTCATCATATCGACGCCGACTTTCCCCGCGTTGCGCACGAACGAGGCGGCCTTGCAGGGATTCGCAAAGACGATGCGGGACGGATCAATCCCTCCGATAGCGAGGACTTGATTGATTTCCCCATTAGAGGCGCAATCAAATCCTGTGCCCAAAGCAGCCAGGAGACGCAAAACATACGGATCTGGGTTGCACTTGATCGCTGAAGGGGGGGAAAAAAAAACCGTTAGTTATGTAATCGTTGTAAACGAAATAGGGGGGTGGGGGGGGGAAGAGACAAACCGTAGAAGGGCTGAACATGGGGAAGACAAGCCTGCCATCGTTGGTGTTGCCTGTACACCTGGCTTAGGTCACCGACGAAAAAGGCCTTTTCGGCATCTGGGACGCTTTGAGCGGCGAGCCGAGTGGCGTTGATGACCCCGTTACGTAGGTGGAGTTCAGGGTGCCCGTGATGGAGTGGCGGAAGGTCTGGGAACGGGCGATCATCAAGTTCTGTGGTGGTTAGATGGAGCGGACTGGAAGATAAGATGTCGTTGACGAGAGAGTTGGTCGTCACCCATCTCGCGGTGTTGGCGTAGGGACCAGAACGTGAAAAGTCGTAATCTACGGTGTTTATCGGGCGAAGAATCTCTACTTGGGACATGGTTCGTGGTGGCGATAAAAGTACGGGCGCAGTCGATGTATGGTTGTGTCGGCTTTTACAAATGTGGTCTAGCGACTGTGAACAGTCGCGCAGGTATTCCAGCGGAAACAGTAAGAACGAGAAGGGATGGTAGGTAGGTCTTTTGTTGTTAATTCGAACTCGAATTACCGAACCTGTCCCGCCACGGTCGTGGGCCGGGCGGACTCGAGGACGGTAATGCTAGGTTCCGGTCAGTCAAAGGCGGGTTCCTCGCTCCCTGTGCAGCGAGGAAATAGCTTGAAGGGAACAAAAGGAGTTTCCGAGAAGTTGGAGACGGAGAAAGACGTATTTCGAGGTGAGGGTTAACGCAGACGAGATGGTGGTGGGCGAGTCCTGTCAGGGAGGTTCACCTGGCGGACCAGCTAAATCAGCATCGAGTCACCCTGACACTGAAACACGACGGACCTCTTACGGATACCCACCTAGCGAAAAAGGCGCAAAGAGGTGTCAACCAACAGCAGCGGAGAGAGAGAAATGAAACACGGGCGTACTCTAGGGTCAACAAACGAAGATCGCTGTTTCTTTGCTGGTCAGAAATGGTGGCACACGGTGTGCCCTGTGGTCGTGCAACAGGTGACGACGACAGAGAAGCTGTACAGAGTCGTAGGGAAGAAGAAGATGAGGCTGCGTTGTGGTCGTCCGTAAGGGGAATTCTCGAAAAAATATCGATGACTGGGTATATACTCGGCAATTTCCGTGCGGGACCGTGTGGACGCGCATCACCAATCCTGGAACACAGGTTGATCTTATGCACAGATACTTGGATAAAGTCTAAGGAATGCAATACTTTAAAAGTTTATTTTATCCAAATTTAAAAGTAAAAGTGAGTTTCCGGGGTCTATTGTGCTTGCTGCTGGATTTTGGCATATGAACTATTAATTTCAAGTTTCCACTCAAATTCAATTCTGAAGGCAGAATGCAGCCATGTAACCCTACGCCTCGGTCCATGAGCACAAGAGGCAAAACCTGAACTCTAGAAAGGAAACCAGGTATAAATAGGCTCCACGAAATTACGTCACGTGATTAAAATAATCCGTGTTGCATCCGTTCGCCAAATATAATCCTTCTTCATTCATCGTTCCATGTCCATGGCGTCTTCATTCATTCGACATGGCAAGAAGGTTCGGACGTTTCCATTCTACAATACAGTTCTTGCAGCCCCAACCCACAAGCAAATCAGATCGTCGCCATTGGAAGAAACTACTCCGAACACATCAAAGAGCTCGCCAACACCGCTCCAAAGGAGCCGTTCTTCTTCATCAAGCCCACGACGAGCTATCTCCCGTCTGGGGGGAAGGTCGAGCTGCCTAGAGGCATAATCGCCCATCATGAGGGTGCGTGTCGCCTGTGTCCCGGGATATGGGTCTACTAACTAATCTATCTATCTATCCAGTCGAGCTGGGCGTCGTCATCGGGACCGGAGGCCGCGATATCTCTCAGGCAAATGCCCCATCGCACATAGCTGGCTACGGTAAGCGCCGCACCCCATCTCTCTCCATCCCCACAAAAAGCGTTCATGCCCAAAATGCTTCATGCCAGCCCTAGCCGTGGACATGACTGCCCGAAACCTCCAGGATCAAGTCAAGAAGCGCGGTCTCCCCTGGTCCGCCGCAAAGGGATTCGACACCTTCACACCCATAGGGTAGCGTAACGCGTTTCATTCACCCCACCCCCCTCTCCCCCAAAATTAAATCATCGCTGCATTAAACACAGATCTTTCATTCCCAAAGGCAACGTTCTCGATCCCCACGACCTCCGACTCTCCTTAAAGGTCAGTGCAGCGCAGCCCGCCTAAATTTACCTTACTCCTCCCCCACCCCCCTCCTTCTTCTTCTTCTCTAACTCGGCAGTTTCTTATCAGATTAACGGACGCGTCAAACAAAACGGGACGACAGCCGACATGATCTTCCGTATTCCCCGTCTCATCCAACACATCTCGTCGATCATGACTCTTGAGGTAAAACACTCCATCATCATTAGCTACAACCCCCACTCAATATGAGATCAACAACAGGAAGGCGACTTGGTTCTGACCGGTACACCTTCTGGCGTTGGGCCGGTGTCCCCCGGCGACAACGTGGAATGTCTTCTGGCCGACGCATCAGGGAACTCCCTCTCTACGTTGGATTTCATCGCCATCGCTCGAGACGGTGGTTATGAATTCAAGCCCGAGTAGCCATCGAAAAAGGAAACTTCTAAATATTAAGTAAATCCGTACTACAGATGTATACGGCAAGCAAGCATCATAAATACGCAGAGTCAACAGTCCAAAATCTACAGTCAAGGACTCCTATCAGGGATCTTCCCGAATACTGCTCGAACCTCGGAGCTTGGGGGATCCATCAGATGGCGACGGAGCACCTTCATCCGAAGCACTGGAATCACTAGCAAACGACCAGCTCCCCGCCGTAGGCGTCAGCTCCCCATCCTGCGACGGACTAGCACTCTGAAAATCCCCAAAGTCACCAAAGTTATCAAACGTGCTATCCTCCATCTCATCAGACAGTGACGAAAAGAAAGCGTCATTGCTAGACACAGCCGCCGAGTCGGAGAATGGCCCAAATGCATCCTGAGTTATCGTGAGTTGCTGACAGATGTGACAAGAAGCAAAAAAAAAAAAAAACGTACATCATCTGCTGAACCGAATGGATCCTCGGAATCGGAGCTGTGACCGGGGTCAAAGGCATCCTACAGGTTCCATCAAATCACGGAGACATTCCTAGTGGTATAAAAGCTGCGCTTACATCAAACCCATTTACACTCAGCGGCCTCCGTTCGCTCTCTTGGTGCCGAGCTGCGGCAGGCGGATTTCCAAGTGTGAACGTAGACCGTGATAACCACCCTCCATCTTCGTCCTCATCGTCAGAGCCAAAGTTATCAGCGTTCATCTCATGCGCTAGGTATCTAGCAAACTGCTTACGATCCAAGTCAACCTTCCCGTACACACATCAAAAAGAAAAAGAAAAACCAGAAGATGAACTGACCCGAGGTGCTGTGTCGTCGTCTTCATCGTCTTCGACGTCATCATCCATCGGTGCGCCAAAGTCAGCGCTGCTCTCACGCGTCGGCCGGGCTCCAACGGCCCGTTTGAACTCCCCCCGACTATCCTGTCCATGGCTCGTTCCATTGGCCCCTGTTGTTGATGTCGACGATAGTCCAACGAAACCAGTAGGGTCCTCCTCGTCCACCTTCCACCGTCCCGCTTGACGGCCCATACTGGGTCCAACGACAGGCTTCCCCCCTCCAAGAAGGATATTATCCCGCCTCTTCGTCTCAAGGTATCTTCCCGTAACATATTCGTCCCAGTCTGGATCCGGGGCATATTGTATGATAAGCAGCCGTACCTCCGGCGGGAAGACCTCAAGCGCGATGAGCACATCTTCAGATATCAGCTGAAGATGGCCCATATATCCTAAACGTACACCTTTGGGCTTCGCACTGGGAGTAATCTCATGAATGATGTCGGGAAACCGATTGGGGGCGCAAAGCCACACACCTCTCGATATCGTTGTGTTTCTGTCCTTCCACAATACGATACATCAGACGCGCATCCCTGAAGAGTGAAATCGCCAGCTCTCTGTTATATCCACTGTCTAGATTGCCTGTGAGTATCTGATGTATAATGTCATAAACGGCACTGTGTAGGAAATTGTTCCATGGATACTCGAAAAACAAGTCCTGAAAAAAAAAACCTTAATGTAATATCAAAAACAAGATATGACCAGAAGACGTACTAATAGGGTAGGGAGAACGCGCAGCTCGAGAAGACGCGCTTTCATCTTTTCACCGACAAATACCGGTTTGCTGAGGGGTGGTTCTTGTATTGCAAATCGTTTAGAGTTTCTCCGCAAGCTCTGTGATCGCTGTCCAACTGTGGATGACGCATCGGAATCCGAGCCGTCGTCTCTCGAGTCTACCCTAGATAGCGCAGCTCCTCGACTTACGTTCGACGATGACGGAACAAGCATAGGCGGTGGTGGTTCCGAGGGACTGAGACCAGGTGGAGTGATGGCAGGAGGTTCATCATGCATTATTATTTCCTCCATGGCATCGTCATCGCTCATGTCCTCATCCGAATCTAGAGACGATGGAGAATGTGATGAATGCGTCACCGGAAGGTCCAGAGAGGGCTCCATAGTGTCGACTATATCATCCATAGAGTCATCGTTCGGCCCGTCAGGTACGTCAACCAATTTAGCGAGCTCTTCCAGTCCAGCAAGCCCACCTATCAGACGACCCTGAGAGTCGTAGATTTTGTTCTGCTCCGGAGGACGATTGAGCAGAGACATGTTTGAACAATGCAACAGCTCGGCAATCATTTCGCAAATCCTAAACCGTTCAAAAGTGAGAGGAACTACCATCCCCACGGTCGTTCCAACGGGCCCCGTCTACCACACGCGAACGCATGAGCTCAGTACGCGGGTGATAGAAGAACTAAACGTACCGAGCTTCGTGGCGACTTCAAATAGTCGAGGAACGTATGAAGATTGTCGTTCATGATCTCCAAAACGGGACCTAGATGAACGACTCCCATGCGATCCACCATCTCTCCCATGGCGTGTTCGAGTGCTTCTCTGGTCACATTCTCAGGTTGTGAACTATACTGATGCTGTATTTGCATCAACCGGTTGCGTAAGGTGTGGAATAGATAAGGCTCGAAGTAGTCCGAGTTGTTTTTCCGTATGAGCTCAATGACGACGCCAATAGACTGTATAACGGATGAAGTAGCGGATTCGAAGGTGGGAAGCAGGGGATGTGTTTTATCGTCTTGATCGTCTTCAGAAGCCACGTTACGGCCCGGCCCAAAATCCTGTAGGGCATACACCACAAGCTTTGACACGCTTTCACGGCGCGCCAGTTCACGGGCGAAGAGATTGGATGATGTCCCGTTCTGTAGTCCCTCGCTAACGCTGGAACCTGGTGACGGTGTGGCTAAGGAGATAATGCCCTTGATCAACTCTGCCACCACTACATGTAGTTCGGGAGGATGCTGTGGGGCCAACCGCTCAATTAACTGCGCCATGAGATTTTGTGAAGAGAGCCACTGTTGCCCCCTATTAGCACGAGAGCCACACCCAGAGACACTGAGTACGCACCTCCAACACACCAGCGCCTCCCTGATATTCATCAAGCTGGATGATGCGAACCAACAGATCGACAAACGAGGGATTCTCGATATGATGTAGTATCCTCTCAACAACGTTGGGTTGAGATTGGATGAATGCGAGCATCTGAGCGCGTTGACAAGTTGCATTTGGGTAAAGATTAGAGAGGATTCACCTCTGCGGGTTTCTTGTTCAAGAAGATGGCATTAATCTTGGCAAAGTGGGAGGCCATCACCATCTGCGTTTTCATGTCCTCCGGGGACCTGTCGAGAAGAGAATCCCAGAAGGGCACCAGCAGCTGCGCCTGCTCGTTGATGCATGTCTCGACGATCGACCATATTTCGCTGCACAAGACCTCGGTCGCCACATACGGGTACCTTTTTGTTTCCCAGAGAAATTTGCCAAGCAACGGTCAGCTGGAAATAAAAAGAGGCTAGAGCACCAAACGCACTTGAACTGCCCCCTCTCCTCGCACTCTATCTCACCCGTTACATAGCCTAGCAATCGCTGAAGGACATCCACCCGTTGGAAGTAATCAATCAATCTCGTATTTTGTGATTTGCATTCTTGAAGGAGCTCGTCTTCATCTAGTATGCCCTCGAGGGAAACATCTTCCTTGTCTAGAAGACTGTCGATACCCGAGGCTGCGCTGAAGCCGAATCTGTTGGCAACGCCGCCACGTTGAGCACGAATAACGGGCACGAGAACGATAAAAGGCACCTCCAGAACATAAAGCTGAAGGACTCGGATAAAGATGAGAGGCGTGAGAGAGAAAGGTCCCGTTGCTCGTCGACGCGTCTCGGAGAGGTGTGACACTGGCAGGTTAAGGGACCATGCCACTACTGGCCGCTACTGGCCTCATGCCCTCTCATGCCCAGGTAAAACCATGCCTCACACGATAAATTGCAATAAATTATATACGGTACTATAATACAATACATAGATTAAACTGAACTGTCCGATGTCAGAACTGGATATTTATTTTTTTAAACTTCCGAAGCAAGACACAGTGAAACACACGACGTACCCGAATCTGATATGAACCACTAGCCTTCGTGAGATATCGCACCCATTTGATACTATTATAGTTGCTCTTCTCGAACACCTTCAAGAACCTGACCATGAGACCCGACGCCGTAAACATGAGGACTTGAAAGTCAACGTCAATAGGCGGCCGAGCCCATACTTGACGAGTTGTGGTACTCGTTAGTTCAGCAACAGCAGAAAAGGCACATTCCTGTCCTCCCTGAAGCCTCGGAATCCTGCCGAGATTGTCAGGGCTAGAGAGACCGAATAACGAGAAGAGACATACTTCCAGATAACCACGTTTTCTGCGGGTGCATATTTTGCCTTTCCGTTCGCCACCGAGCACTCCACATTCACTGTATTCAGTGGTGTAGGTATTCGCAAGACGATGTTAGTCGCAGACAGCTTGTTGTTGAAGTTCGTCTTCACTGTGACATCGTACGATACGCGAGTAGTACCTATTTCTGTGACCGTAGGGATGATTCGCAGAGGTAACTTGACATTCGATGTCGCCCGATATCTGGAAACTATGACATTATAGTGTCCCATCGTGGAGAGCCTGTGCACGTACCTCATCAACTCGAATTCGCCATCCGGAGGGACGAAACTGATGCTTCGGTCAGCATCAAAGTCGTTTAACCGCACACACTGGTGAAAACGACAATCGTCAAGTTCAACAGCATCACTAGCACCTCGTTCACTCTTGTCGATGACGAGCTTGTCGTTCAAACCGAATTTACACTCCGGTGTTCCAGAAAGATATGCGCGCATCTGTATGTGACCGTCGACATCTGCACGGAGGATCGTACCTATGTGACACAACATCAGTAACTGCATGAGAATACCCTACAGGAGCCAGCAGGTCTACGGTAATGAAGAAATCAACAAATGACAGGGAATGGATGATACATGGAAACCACCAACAGAAATATCCCCTAGAAATCTGTGCGAGAATGTGTAGATAGGATACTTGTTGTCACACACACACCTTTAGCACTCATACTTAGATTGATGGTTTCCACAACATCCACAAAAGCCTCGTTTTTCTTGTACTTGACATCTCCGCGCCGCCAGCTCGTCGCTCCCGTCGCTTGTGCCGTAATCTTCGACGATTCTTCCTGCACACAGCATGAACGCCCACGATACGAATAGTCTTAGCTGACAAGAATGCGTACAACAGCAACAGCCGAAGAAGACACGATGCTCTCAGTCGTGATGTATGTTTTCAAGGTGTCGATTTCGCTATTTTGCGGATATCCAAAGTCATTGATTTCTGGCAGGATATATATTCCAAACGACAGCGAAACAAAGGGGAAACAGACCTGTCACTCACCATCAATAAGTTCGTATATGAGAACGAAGTTGTTCTTAATGGCTTCCTCGTCGATCTTCCCGAAATACGACCTGGCGATGCTGATAAACCGGTAGCAGAACTCAAACACCAGAGCAGCATTCGCATTGTTTCTGTGCAAAGCGTAAGCACCTGGCCCGGGACGTGGAAGAGCTACGCACTTTGTCACCGCTACGACATACAGATTGTTGATTCTAACATGGAAGAAGCTGGTCGAGCCCAGCGTTATGATCGGTGAGCGGACATCACTATTCGACACGACTTGTATCCTGAAGACATCTGCGATAGAACGCCTGGAAATGTTGAGCATCAGCCGCTTTCTAGGCATGCCTTTCCTCGACGCACTTGAAGTCTGTACGATACAGTCTTGAGATGAGGACCTCGCCCTTCTGGTTAAACACGAAGAATGCCTGTCGAATGCCATATAATCCATGACAGTACTTTGAATGCCGCCGCAAACACTTACGGATATCATGGAAGAAAGTGGTCAAAGCGAAGGCCCAAAACGGGAATAAGAAAAATAATTATTATCACAAATCCGGATATTTCGTAGAACCATGGTAGACTGAAAAAGAGAACTAGCAAACTACGAAGCGACCTCATCTACTCTCGTCAAGTTGAGCGCTCCACGACCAAACCCTTCCGCAACAGCCTTGAACCCATTTTCTCGGACTTCCGACAAGAACAACTCATGCTGATCAGCCAAACGCTCATTGTTCCTCCTTATCTCCCGTATTACGCTGTACTCCCGGGCGCATTTCGGACATTCTGTGTCGTTGTCCATCAAACAACTGTAAAAACGATGAGCAGAACCATCCCAGTGAACAGAAAGTGATTACTGACCGTTGGTGATAACTATGGTTACACATAAAATGCACGCTCGGAAGGTCAAGCTGCCCACCACACGTCGAGCATCGGGTGACATGGAATACTCTAGGATGATCTGGATCAGAAAGATCTTGCACCTGCTTCAGCTTGGTAGCAGTCTCCATCCTATAAGAACTCGTCCATTCCTGATCCTACGCAAATCATCAGACAAGGGGAAAAACAAGGAGAAACCAAGTTATTCACCGCCTGTATCTCACTCCTTGCCTCCGTAATGCGGGTCATCAACCACTCTTTCACGAGCCCAACACTTGCCACGGAATTTCGGCTCAAGACCTGTATGACGCCCAATGGCGGCATGATACCCTCTTTGTTGATATGCTCTAGCACATCCTTAACATCTTCCTGATGCCGACTCAACAACGCAGGCGTCGATGTCAAGAACCTCAGCACCAACGGATACAATTGCGGATTCCCTGACCCATACTGCTTCAGGTGCTTGATCACTTCTGTCGAAGCACCGGGCGCTGTTCCCTCCTTCTCTCGGTCCATCCAAAACCTAAGCACGTCCTCATACATGCCCATCCGCTCCCACAAAAGCATAAGGCCCTCCGTATAGCCACGGCTTGAGCACAGAATAAGTGCGTGGGTCGGGTCATAAGGTATGGTATCGCTGTTGAGCACCCGCATGGCCTTCTCTCTGAAAGCCTTCGCCTCATCTGATGTATCGTTCTTGGTCTCCGACGGGTTGGGCAACGTTAGGTACAGCTCAAGGAGCGTATTCCATACTGCCACCTGATCAAGCTGGTCGGCTTTTTCTTCCAAAGGAGGCTCTGAAGGCGGCGGCAAGCTGGGTAAATTGTCTATGCTCTGGCCCCATCGACGTAACGCCACCGTCTCGAGGAAGATGACGAACTGATCCATATGGTCAACAAAGTGCGCAAAATACATTCGAGGAGAGAGCTGTTTGACGGGCGCAGGTCGAGCAGGTTTAACAGCAGTGGGACTAGAGGGAGGAGGTGTTGATGGACGAGACGTTTCATGCGTCGATTCCTTTTGTGAAGCCACATCTCCGGGTTTGACGGTTTTAATGGAAGGAGATGGAGGAGGGACGTCGACGACAGGGGCACGATTCAGTGCCAGATATGAAAGGTAGGAGGGTCCCGCAGTCGTCGTCTTCGAAGCCGTGGTCAATGCTTCTTCTGGTTCAGGGGAAAGTGTCCCTGAAGAGGTGGTACAAAGATCGATAAGTAACTGCGTCGTTTCCACCGGGAGGTTAGCCAACATGGCTCTGCCGTAGCGTGCAAGATTGCTTTCGGCCTGGAGAGCTAGAGTCAGTCAAACATAAATCTGCTTCATGTGGCACAAACCGCATCTGCCCCCAGCTTTCTAAGATACAACAGAGCGTCCTTGTAATTCTCCGCATCTTCGATTTGTATTCTCAGATAGTCCTCGTGGCGCTCATACTTCTTAGCAAGGTACGACGCATGGTCAAAATAACCCGCCTGCCGGCAAACACGAATAGCAGTCTCCAAGTCGAATGGGAGTTCGTCCGAGTCCGTCGAATTTCGACGGGACTCTGTCTTGATAAAACTGTCCAGTCGAGAAACATCTTTGAGCTTTGTATACGTGTTGAGGAGAAGAGTTGTATGATCTGAGTTCGCAAGTCCGAGAGAATGCAGCTCTTGGAGGTAATTCACCAAATTGTGTATCCGTTGTGCATCAAGAAACTAAAATTGCAACGGTTGAGATCGATTCATTCAAGAGAAGAAAAGAGAGCACCTTTCGAATGACATAACTAGGCTGCAGATGTCCAATTGTCTGGATAAATTGCTGCATGGCCGCGTCGTATTCACCCTTATTATATAAGTGGTTTCCGTACTGTTGGTGAATACCAGCGACGCTCGATTCATCCAATCCCTGAGTTTTTGCCAAATTGAGCGCCAGTGGGTATAAAGAGCGGGTGTAGAGCATGTCTAGCTTTTCCGATGTGGGTTTCTCTCTCAGGGCAAACAGCTACGCACATGTTCAGTATGTATCCAAGAGAAGAAGAAAGCACACACATTACCATCGTTGGACAGAACATAAAGATGTCCCCAAGCGGATATCACTTCTCGAACACCCTCTGTGAAGGCACCAGTATACGCCACCAACTTATTCTCGGGATCAAACAATGTGACTTTCGTTATATCACTGTCTCCAGCATTCGTGGTCCGTGCTACGAAATTGCGAACAGTTGCAGACGCAGCAGAGGCTGTCGGTAGGAATGGAGGGGAGACAATAACGACGTAGCTGTGATGTGTATGTATTGAAGACTTGTGCCCTGTCAAAAAAACATTAGCAGAGAGCCAATAATCGCCCTGAATTTTCAGACCTTCATATGCCCAGCATGCTCCACGTCCATCTGTACCACAAACGTATATGGCCTCATCTCGTGCGACTACGATGCCCTTCCCTCGGTAGTCCATAGTAGCCAAACCAAGACCTGTACCAACTTCATCAACTACAACGGCTGCAGCACCGCTTCCGCGACCCGACGCCTGATAAGAGAGAACACGATTTGTCGTGACTACAAAAAGGTACAAATTTGGACTGTCTTCAGAAGGCTCCCGAAAATCCAAGCCTGTTATCGGCTCTGTTGGAGATTCGTGCACCGTCCGGGGTTTAGGAAGTGATGTGAGGCCGGTGGAATTTGTGAGTGACTGGTCAAGGTGTCGGTATAGAAGGACTGTTCCATCTCCTAGACCGATAGCAAGGTACGAAAGTGATGCGGACAAGGCGATGGTCGACACCTAACAATTGTAAGTCGTTGCTAGGACCAGAAATAACTGAATGGATGTGTCTTACGGGATGGGGTCGATTGCTGAGTTGTACTTTGACAGAGCGAAGAAGTAACGGTGAGCCCGAGCGTTTGTCTGTGTTTTCCAAATCCCAGATCTTGAGAATAGGCGACCTGATGGCATCCTCCTCCTACAATACTGCTGAGTTCCGTCACAAGCTGTATTAGAGAGACCACGCACTCCGAGGGTAACCAAAATACGCTTCCGCTCCACCATATGTGTCACTCGTCCACCGACATGGGCTACCCAGCTTTTAACGGATTCAAAGTCACGATTGAGGATGTGTATGCTGCCATGAATATCCGCCACGAGGACGCCGGCCGACGACGACGACGAAACGGTGGAGATTTCGGGGGTAGCCTGATGCACCATGCTATCAAAATATTCTGCTGTAGCGCAGACTGGCGCACCTTGAATACATCCGGTGTGCTATCAAAGTCATGGACATCCCTCACTCTCTCGACTTGGAAGAATGAGACTTGCCGCCACTGAGGATAGTACTTGAATGTCACTGAGGTTGGTCGAATAATGGCGCTGCACTCACACCAGGCGCAGAGACATTCAAATTCGCCATCGACGGTCGGAGATTAGGAGATATATGACATGGAGAAAGGAAGACCGCTACGGTATCCTGCAGCTGCAGAACGGATTCGGATCCGGATGAGGGCGTCGATCATTATAATAAAAATAATAAATAATAAATGAATAATCATGAATTCTCACGAGACCGACATGTCCAATTGTCGACATCCCGCTGTAACGTACTGTTGAAACGTTGAAGCTAAGGTTCAAGGCTTTTGAAGTGTTTTCCGGTCACCTAAAAATACCGTTAAATAAAAAGACCGGCGGCATTTCATACGACTTACATTGCGGACCTTTTATGTTTTTCAGTGTTTGAAGGAGAATCTTATCGTTCCCCCTGCCTCCTCCCACGAATGAAGTGCTCGTGCTCAGCCAAGCCGTCAAAGACCTTGTGGATTGTATTGGATTACGTCCGTGCTCCAGTACCTAGGTACATCTTCCATTAATACACGGGACGGTACCATACACTATTTCACATTTAAAGAGGTGTCCCAGTGATCGAAACTTGTGATATGGGGAAGACACTATAGATCAGGAAGGCAGATCATCATATACGTACACAGTTGATCTTTTACAGCGATAACAATGACATAATGTACTCGAAGGCGATTTGGTCGTGGGAGATTCCATCGCTCGCACGGCCATTGCAGAACAAGGACAAGAACAAGGCCTTGTGGGCCCGTTTTGCTAAGTAATGTCATTCATCTTATTCAGAACCTTCTCCGTAAGCCAACGTTTCTATTAAGCTAATTACGCTGACTATACATAAATATTCTGGCTTATAGGGATGATGACTTTTCCCGGCTTGTAAAACAGTTCCGGTGTTACAGATTGTACCACCCCGACCTTGATAAAATACTTTTGCGGCTTGACATCAGTGCTTTCCGGCTTGTCAAGCTGTCGCAAACATCTCGTGTATTGATCACTGCCTATGCGGTCGGCTGTCATTCCGGAAAATGTTTTCGTGCATTTCCAGAAGAAAGCATATATACCTCTGATGGAAAAGACAAACGAACGATACCACCAACATCCTGACAGCATATTTTGGCCATGCCCTTGACCGAACTTACAACGCTTAACCATGTGCCCCCAAACAACTTCGAATCTCTATCTCGGCTCTACACGTCCTGGTGTAGCCTCCAACCATCGTATTCCGCGTACCCTCTAACATTCTATGCCGACGTCAGGCATCCAGGTGTCATATACCTCTTAACCGGATGGCGCAATGCCCAGGAACGGAAACTATGGTGCCAAAGCGATGAATACCAAGATGTACTAGCTGATATGGTCGAACGGGTGGAAGTGAAACGTAGCCTGGTGCTCAACATGGATTTTGACACCATCCCGCGAGCTGCTAGGGGGCTGATGTGTGTTCATACCATCCGGATAGAAGGAGATGAGGAAAAAGAGGATGAGGGTATACCATGGATGCCCAGCAACGACTCTTTTTTAGAGGTCCTATGGACGGCGTGTACAGAGGATTGCGAGGATGCGTCTACATTTTGCCGCTTTACGCTCTACGGCACTATAGTTTCTGACGAGACAGTGAGGAGAAAGTATCGACTTGGGTCTAATAGTTTCACTGCTATGAAGCGGGTAGCTGTTCCGGTTGACAAAACTAGCATGCTGCATGCCAGTAAAGACATCATTTCCTGTACATAATGATATTAGCCGTTCTTTTTTGATGAGGGCACCGTTCAAGGCGTACGTTGAAAGACAGTTTCATGACAACACTTCTTTTTGTGCATTGATAGTGGAGAAGACCCGCGTAGCAGTTTAATCTCGCTCATCAGAACTACGCATTAAACCTAGTGTCTTCATATCAGGTACACATCCCTTCTGACGCAGGTAATTCACGATATGCCTCGCGTCACATTTAACGGCGGCTTTCAGAAGCTCGGGGTATCGTTCGCAAGATATCCTATCCGCAATCTTGCGCTTTTTTGCACCATTAACTTTCCCCCCATAGCCTGGTTCCACAAGCAATCGGACGAGATGGAGGTTCTTCTTTCGAACGGCAATCAAAACAGAAAGACCGTCTTTCCTTCGGGGATCTGCCCCGAATGCAAGGAGGTATTGTATAAGTTGTACAAATCCTCCATGAACAGCCATGGCCAGGGCATAACCGCCGTGCGAATTCAGATTCAGATGAGGCACCTTTTTGTGCAGATGTCGGAGGTAGGGTAGTGGATGGTCCGCGTCGGACCATTCGCTTGAAGGCCTCTGTAGCCTGAGCAGGTGTTGGAAAAGATGTCGGGGGATTTCCGTGGTTTTGGAGAGGCCGGTGGTGTCGGCGCAGCGATTACAGATTATATCCAGTACTTGTGAAGAGCATAGCCGGAATCGAATAACTCTGGAAAAGAAGTCCGGAGGCCAGGAAGATGAAGGGCGTAAGACACGGCCGAATATGTATTGGGCACGAAATGAATTTGGAGAGGCATTGAAGGTATCGTAAAGGAGGCGAGAGGAGTATGGCAGACTGTCCGAAAGAGCGAATAGTTGTATCTCATATAGAAGCTTCGTCTCGTCAGCACAAGTGAATGTGAATGACAGCTAGTTGTTCACCTCAACAGGTAACTGCTCTAATTTAGAACCTAGCAGACAATTCATGGTGATGGTCTACGTCTTCTTCCAGTCCAATTCTTTCGCCACGGAATCTGGGTTACACGTCTGGGGACAACCCCAGTAGTCTTACGGTTCTTGTTAACGAAGAAATCCCTGCAAAAATATTGTATTTAGCGATGCTGTCATTGATGACATGAACGAAAAACTTACACCACCTTGCTCTCAGCGAAATTCTGGTCTTTCACGTCCTCGGATCCTTCCCTCGCAAAAGAGATTGAAAACTGCTTTGGAGGAACTAGAAAAAAAGTTAACTAAGTGATCAGATGAGTCAAGTAGTGCTTACAAGACTTGTTCGTGCCTCTGGCGTATCTGTATTGCGAGACGAAGAAGGAAATACGATTCATCGCATGGATGTTCGATGAGGAGTAGGCTAGAAACTCTAACCCTAACCCAGCTCTTGCCTTTGCGGCTCTCGGGCCGATGTCCGGGAAAAGCCTCCTTCCACTTATTCTCGCCACAGTCAGATACCACCCTTCTAGTTCAATACGAACATGGAAGAAGAGATTCTCTCTGTTCAGCCTTCATCTGTCTCCTTGGAAAGCAAGAAAAAAAGTTCCGGAACCAACACGCCCACCAACGATAGTCCTGCCGCGTCGCCTGCACCCGCATCTACTGCCAAAAACCGACCAAAAATCAAGCGGGACAGAGTTCCTAATCCAATTCGTCCGCGGCGTGATGATATCACCTTACCAGCCGAGAAAATCGCCTCATCCTCTTCTAGACCACTCCAAGATGCCCCACGAGAAACGAGAAGTAAAAAGAACGGAAAGAGGAAACAAAAGACGGATAATGGTCGTATTTCCAGTGAAGTGGAACGAGACGTAATCGTCATTGACGATTCCGATGAACCAACCGTCTCCAAGGATCTTGGCATCGGTGCAGATTTTGTTGTGTTCGACGATTCGGATTCGGATGATAGCGATGAAAAGAAGACCGGTAGCATGGATAGGAAAGAAAAGGAACGCGACGATGGAATAACGCCTCCTTCCGATGAAAGAGATACCCGCAGAGAGAATAAAGAGCCCGACCGCAGAGGAAGGCGCGACGATACCAACGATGACAGGCGAGAGAAGAAGAGTAAAAGTACGTTTACATTTTTTTAAACTTCGTTACTTGCCTTAATCTTGCGTTATAGGAAGAGATCACTCTCCATGCGTACGAGAGTGGGACCGCAACAAGGAGAGGCGACGCAGTCGAGAAAGAGAAACGTACACGGATCGTAGACGCCGAGAAAAAGCGAAATATGGACGCAGAGACAGGAAGGTAGACAAGGTCCCGTGGCTCGAGAATTTGGACTTGGATAGTTGCACCAATGTTGCTGAGGTGTATGTGCATCGTCTGTCTTCCACTAACGCGCCCTCACTGCCAACCAGTTTGCACCGGGAAGTGAAGGCATTCACAAAATGGATATCACCGACGCCAGTAGAAGACGAGATCCGTGGCCTTGTGGTGGCACATATCAAGAAAGTAGTCGCAGCATCGTTTAGAGACGCCAAAGTTCTTCCTTTCGGAAGCTACGCGACCAAACTATATTTACCAACTGGGTTTGTCTCTCCTTCACACTAAAAGCGTCGTCACTGATGTTTTCCTAGTGATATTGACCTCGTTATTCTCTCCGATTCCATGGCATATAGCAACAAGGTTACTGTCCTTCACTCCCTTGCTGCAACCCTAAAGCGAGCCGGTATAACTGACCGGGTTAGCATCATCGCCAAGGCGCGCGTCCCCATTGTCAAATTCGTCACGAAGCTTGGCATGTTCCACGTCGACATCAGCATCAATCAGGGCAACGGTCTAGTCGGCGTAGATATTATCAACGGCTTCCTCCGCAACATGCATGGACAGGATTGTATGGCGTTGCGCGGTCTCGTACTCATCACGAAGATGTTTCTTGCTCAACGAGGCATGAACGAAGTGTATACTGGCGGGCTGGGCAGCTACGCAATCGTGTGTTTAGTTGTCAGCTTCTTGCAAATGCACCCGAAGATTCGAAGAGGAGAAATGGCCGTTGATGCAAACATGGGCGTTTTGGTGATGGAGTTCTTCGAGTTGTATGGGTGCTATTTTAACTTCGATGATGTTGGGATCTCCGTGAGGGACGGTGGGACGTATTATAACAAGAGGCAAAGGGGATGGCACAATGATTCGAAAGGATTGCTCTTGTCCATCGAAGATCCTGCTGACCCTTGTACGTGAATGAACTTTCATAAACAGTGAACTTATGGGATTCACCTTTGTCACAGCGAACGATATCTCAAGTGGTTCATTCGCATTCAATAAAGTCAAGACGACTTTTGCTGGTGCTTTCAACATCCTGGCCTCTGCTGCGTACCTGAAGGCTGGCATCATCAACTCTCGACGATCAGGAGGCGCTCTGCACTTACGCGGCAGCTTTGATCCTGCAGATCTGAGCGTTTTGTCAGCTATTCTGAGCATAACACAAGAGGTTCGTTCCTACCGTTTTTTTGTCTTGAGATGATACTTGATTCATCAGCTTGATAGACTATAAATCATCGAAAGGTGGTGCAGGAAGTCTACGATTCTGGGGATTTACACAGAATGGTTGGCCAGAAACCACTTCCCCAAGTGTTCGATGGGCGCTCAGATGGAAACCAGAATGGCAGTGGCTTTTCCAAAGAGTCGTACGAGATGAACATGGATCTGGGTACTGACTCAGAACAAGAAAGGGAGAGCAAGAAGCGCCGGAGAGACGATGACGAGTCCGATGGAGGGAGATATAACATCGGGAAGGAGCCGCCGAAGAAACGCAGACGCAAAGGAATATCGGCTGATTTCCGGGAACACTTCACGACAGGCGAGGATAGTGTTGCAGAAGGAAAGAATGAGGAACCGCCGAAGAATCGCGGACGCAAGGAAACGCAACTGGATACTCGGGAGCCCTTTACAACAGACGAAGATAGCCTTGCAGAAGAAGAGGATGAATACGCCAGTGACTCCTCAAGCCCCGCAGATAAAGAGTCGAAACGCAAAGTCGACATTGGGGAGCGCAATCGCAAGCAGTCATATTGGTTGTCCAAGGGTATTGGGCCTGGCGACGTTGGAGACAGTGACAACTGAACTACCTCTTATTACCTGTGTTAGAATATTGGATCCATGGTACTCCTTATATTCCGCTTTGTTCGCTCGTTCGCTGCTTTTTTATTGTTGCTTTGTTGTCGACTTGCTCTTTTATGTAGTCAAAACTTCGTGCACGAGTCAATAGTGCTTTTCTTCTAAGTTCAAGAGTATTCGATGACTCCGCCGCCTTCAAAGCCAAAAACAAGGCATCTTCCTCTAGCAGAGATACGAAAACGAATCTACTGTTGGTTTATACATCTAAAGCACGTTGGATATGAATGCAGTGTCAATATTTCAACCTCAGGCCTTTTCATGATATCTGTCAGGGAGATATCAATGTACCTCTCCCTCAAAACACGACAGCCGGCTTGCACTAGTCCAGATGAAGTTTCCAAGGAGCCTGTCAAGAAGAAATAGAAGCGCTGATTATCTTTCTGAACCTCCTATCATTAACTTCCAAAATGAATATATTACAGTGGTAAATTACGAGAGCAACCGAAAATAGCACGAAGTGTGTGTTGTGAAATAACTAACTAGAATCGTCCAATCCCTGGTCCAAAGTTACCGTAGATATCTGCTTGCAGGTCTCTGTTGACGTCCGAGGTCTACGAATAGTATTTGACCGATCGATAGAGGCTGCACTCTGTTCGGGGATTGGATGAGGATTAATTTGGGTAGGCGTTTTCCAGCCGCCTTCCGATTCTGATACTGAAAGCCCCACCGCGTAGCCTTGGGGTAAATGAGAGGGTAGGTTCTGAGGTACCGAAGGGAATGCATCGAAGAGTTCCCTATCAAGAAGAGTAGAAGGTGACGAAACATTTGAAGATACTGTCGCCCATGAAACAGGACGGGGAGGGGTGCTGGTAGAGCCATGGCTCCCCTGATGTGAGCCCAAGGCATGATCAAATTTTGATTGTTGAGACGCGCCTGGGAGAGCGAGGAGATCCGAATATGCATGGGGCAAAGGAGGCATGGTGCCCGGCGGGGGTAGAGGTGGCCTTTGCGAAGCGAAGTGGAGCGAACGTAGAGATTGAGACCTCACGGGAGGTACTATGATGTTATCCTGAGGCGACGAAGATTGTGTAGCACCCGTGGTTGTCTTTGAGATTGCAGGGGCAGAAGGTTTGCGATTCAATCGAGGAAGTACGCTCTTGATAGTACCCAATGTGCTACGATCTGAAAGGTCTCATTAGGACCAAGGAGCGAAATACTACCAAGGAACTCACCGTCACTGTCAGTCGTACTGGCGATACTGATAGTCGACTTGGTCCTCCCTCGGCGCCACATCTTCTCTGCAAAGGATGATGCCCTATTGATACTCCCATTTTTCTTTGGAGATAATGAAGGCCAAACTATACCACTCGGTGCAGAGGCCCTAAATCCTACACCAGTTCCAGTCCCTGGTCTTATAGTTTCCGACTCAGCTAAGTCGGGGCTAATATCGGGAGGAGTGACGACCGGAAGAGAATCGTCGGATGAAATCTCAGAAGAGACGCTCTGACGCGACGCATCATGAAAGGTGGAGGAACGAGATGCGCTTGCTAGTTTTCTGAAACTGGCCAGGTATTTGGAACGCGGAGACTTTGGTGGCGGCGTCGGGGGACGATCAGCCTCTGGTGTCACGTCTAAAACACTACCAGAACCATGTCGGATGTGGCCTGACGTCGAACAAGTCTGATCAGAGTCGGGACCTGACGTTGCTCGGCCATTACAAGAAATGGCCTCACCCTGTTCCACAACAGAGTCCTGGGAGGTTTTGCTAGCGCCATCTCGAGTTTTGGACTTGTTTCGAGCAAGGACCTGCGGCACGCGAAAGCTGCGTTTTCGCCTTACTGGCTCGTCTTTTCCAAGAACACGGGGTAACCTGATTTCCGCTGCCTTCGTCTCTTCTACATGCTGAGGATTTTCGGGAGTAGAAACAACTCTCTTCTTGTCCTCGTAGCCGACCTCGCTTGGCAATTCCCCGTTCATCAATGAACGTTCTAGAAGAGCAGCATTTTTGAGCAGCAATGCCAATTCGCCGGAACCTGGACTGAGAGGCGGTTCTACTGCCACGGTGCGTTTAATCCTATTCATCTGTGGTGTGTACGGTGGATAAAGTGTCCTTGAAGGTAGCGTCGCTACCTCTCTCACTTTCCCATGCACAACAGCCGAGAATGATGGATCTCCAGATGTTACCGGCCCCGATTCAGTGCGCAGACGCGAAAATGAGTGGGAAAGTTTGTGCATTGTTAGTTCACCGAATTCGGTTTCGGTGGGATAAGGAGAGGATTCAAAAGGTTGGATCGATGCTTGCGTACCGCTATTGGTCTTGCGATGGGTAGTAGTGATGTGACTGGGACTAGTTTCTATCATGCTCACAGGGCGAGGCAAAGGATTCATGAGCATGGGAAGTGAGAAAGATTCACGAGCTGGAGACGATGGTTGGGATGGGACAGGAGTGGACTCGGCGTCATGTGAATTTATAACAAATGGAGAGTCCGGTATTGGGATCAACTCTGTATGATCCCTCTCCATATAAGCGTTCCCAGCTTCAAGGAATTCAACTGAGGCCAGGATAGACTCGGCTGAGCGACTGGCCATAGCAACACTGCCCGGACGCGATGACTCAGGTGAAGAAGAGACACGATGTTGCTCAACCGCAGCGGTATCCGGCGTCCGTAAAAGCTGGTACTGTGGTAGCTCTGATACCTCAACAGAGACCCGATCATAAAGTATCACATCATTAGCGCCAGGATGATCAAGTTCGGGGGCTGCGACGCCGGCCGATGCATTGATATTGACATTAATGTACGAGTCTTCTTCATTTGCAGCGTTTGCTAGATCGGATGCCACTTCAGTATGAGTTCCGACATCATCAGTGACACATATGACGGGTGGTGGCGGTGGCGATGGCAAAGTGGCAAAGGGCACTGGAGAATGTGACCGCTCGAGCTCAATGGGTGCTGCAGGAGTTGGAGTATCAGGCTTGTCCATCGGAGCGTCTGCGCTCTGTAAAGAAATGTCTGTCAAATCCGAGGAGTCCATGCTGCTAGCAGTGGTATTTAAGTTCTGGAAGAATATCGTCAGTGAAATTCTCAGTCAGGGTGTTCACAAACTCACGGCATCTGTCTCGGAATTGTCCAAAGTTAGATCCAACAAGGCTGGCGAATCCTCAGCGACGTCTGAAGGTGAAACCGTGACACAAGGCTCATCCACTGCCGACAGCGCATCCTCTTGAAGAGACGAGTTGTCTAACGTTAGATCCGACAAGGCTAGTGAATCCTCAGCGATGTCTGAAGGTGAAACCGTGACACAGGGCTCATCCACTGCCGACAGCGCGTCCTCTTGAGGAGACGAAGACCCGTCAGACACGATCACCGGTGTGTCATGCTCGTCCATGTCCATACTTGAAAGAGATGACCCCGGTATGGGAGAGGTTGGTGGCGAAAGAGAACATTCGCGAGAATACGTGTCGCCTCCACCGTTGAGCTCGGATAAGGCCTCTGCTCGACGAGCTATGTCAAGAGCGGCCGCGAATGATGTGCTCCGAGATTTGGATCTGAAAGCTCGCGAGTTCTCTAGTGTATCATCTGGAGTTGGTGAAGGGGATAAAGAGCGAAGTGCTTGACTGTCCCTTGGTGAATCCGCAGCGTCCGAAAAATCATCGTAATCCAATCCCAACAGCGAAAAATTTCTTCCTCCAGAAGAGAAGAGAGGTGATGTGGAACGACTCATAGGAGGCGCGCTACTTCCACTGGCTACTCGCACAGCGGAAGGAATGCGGTTCCCATACAGCTCGCCTTTCTTTCTTGTCTGCTTACTCTCTGCAGTCGGAGGCGCACCCAAACCGAAACTCCCTCTAGGTACAGGAATTCCTCCCTTCTGCTCGAATTTCGCGATTTTATCCCGTAGACCACCCGAGGGTACCGTAGGCTGGTTTACTGATAAGGAAGGCACTGAGGGCCTCTGCGTTTGGGATACATTCCGCTGCTGAAGAGCGGCAATACGCTCCTTCAAGTTCACTGGAGGCTGCTGCGCACGAGAGGTCCTGTAAACATTAATTAAATAAATCTCTTCGACGTTAGACAAAAAAAGGACGAGTTAACATACATCGAGTCAACAGGAATAGCAATTGTTACAGAACGACCAGCGACTGCAACATGAGCAGGCACTGCGGACACAAAAGCTGAGACTGAAGAAGAAAAAAAATGGACAAAGCGAATATAAGAGAAGGGATCGAAGTCACTAGAGAGGACCGAATCACCCAAACATAGTAATACTTTCCCAGGAACCGATCGGACTGGACTCTTGTTCATCTTCACTGAGACCTCGATGCATTCTTGATACCTTGCTTGCCGCAACTCGGAGGGTCGATGCCAAGTCATATCGGATAGACGATGTCACGGATATATGAATTATTACTACTACCAATATTATTGCAATTCTAGTATCTACTATGCCCCCCACATCAAAACCATAAAAATAATGCACTTCTAAGAACCAAGTTTTCTACGCCAAATAGTCCTCGTTCTTGCCCCCATTAGAACGGCCTTGGTACAGCTGCGGGCCGCGGACCACGTACCCTCACAAAGGTGCGCCGTACAGGCGCCAGTTTCTGCTTAATCCGAGTCCACGCATTAGCCTTCCTCGTGATGAAATCTATGTCGATGGGTAAGGCATGCCGTGGCTTGGGCTGGTGAAGTGCCCAAGGAATGCAAATTTTAACTCTATCCAGTTCGTTTGCAACTCTTTCCGACGCCATAGACAAGCCCTTGGACGCAGGAGTAAAGTTGTTAGAAGACCGGGGTACTTGTAGATATGTGGATGGAGTAACGTGATGTCGTTTAGCACAGGGATTCCATCCTGTGGGAGAAGGTAACCTGGCGACTGTCGCGAGATCAACAGGACTGCTGGGGGGTGATATTGGGGGGAATGTCTGCGTATTGATTGAGGGAACGAGCCACGACAGGGGGACTTCGCACAAGGGTACGGCACCGACTGATGAAGTGTATTCGGACAACGTAAGGAAGGCGTTGACGATGGCGGATATATTGTGATCGTTATGCACCGGCAACCAGGATTGCGCACATAACTCCCTGAAGTGCTGGGTGTATATATTCCAGACATGTCGAGGCATCTGGGCATACGACCCTAGTGTCTCCAAGACATCTCCTTGCGCCTCAAGGACCTGGTCGACAGTGAAACCCGTAAGAAGAGCTCTATTCAAAGATTAATCAGAATCAGAAAAAACCATAACACCAGATTGATTATTCACCTATCTTCCAAAGGAAGCGGATCGGCATTAAATTGATCCAACGCCACGAAGAAGATGATTAACATCAGTCTGCGAAATGTCTCGATGTTCCTCGGTCTCTCTTCCAGCTCGCGCAATGTGAGAGTTTCCACTTTCTCAAAGTAGAGGGTGGCGTAGGCGACGATGTGGAATAGAGTGAAGGACGTTTGGTGCTGCGACATGATCAAGTCATAGACGAAGCCATGCAGAGTTTCATAGGTCGAAGAGAATGATAATTCACTACGTCCACAGCCATCAGACATGGCGAGGGATATCAGAAAGTCCGACTCACCTTACGGTCTGCACAACCGTCGGAGTCTGTCCAGTCGCAGTGCAGACTAGAACCACAGCGACCCAGTCTGCAAGCGCGATAAGATGAGGCATGGCGTCGATAATCAATTTGTCCTTGCACAAATCTCTTTCATCGGAGTCATTGCCAACCAAAGTAAATGTAGGAGATGGAGGCTCATCGACGTCGTCATCTAAATGATACTCTGTGGAACGATCGTAATCGGGAGGTGACGACGTGTACGATGGGGGCCGAGTCGATGAAAAGCTGTGCGAGATGTATGCCGGAGGTAGTTTGGCGCAAGCTACGCATCTGGCGTCTGTCATCGCAGCAGTCGTGAAGTGGGGTGTCGCATAAGCCATCCTTAATAAAACGATGAGCGAGGGGTGCGGATTCGAGAGAATCGGACATGTTATATATCGAGGGCGGCTGGACTTTAGGTGGCCTCATAATGTTTGGACAATAAGCGCCGCGGCTTTTCGTCAAAGTAAGTGGCATGCTCAACAATGGACTTGAAGCAATAACATACCTTGCCATCAGAACGGCGTCCGGATTTCATAACTGGCAAAGGAATGTGGTGATACTATCTGGGTGGTCAGGATCTTCAAGCTGACAAGCACAATGAGAATGCTACTGTTGTACAACAATGTGGTGTACTTTGTAGCAGAAAGCGACCGCAAAGCCTCAGGCCTCAGGCCTCGAGCCTCAAGCTTCACAGCAAATTGCTTGTCACATCACCTGACTGAATCGTTGACCCGTTCGCGTCCTTGGTCCTGCTTTGAGGGTACCAATATGTTCAGCATACGTAGGGGAGAGGAACATGTCCGAAACGTCCCCGCATCAGCACTTCTCTCGACGTAGTTCAACGATAAATTTTGCCAGATGCCTTTTCCTGACGAGCATATCAATTCACATTCAAAGTGAAACAAGACTCTCGATATAGATGATTACATGCAGAAGCGCACATCCAATCCCTCCTCGCAGAAGCCTCGCAAGCTCAGCAGGGATGGCATATCGTAGATGGGATAGCCCGACAGCTTTACCGACTGGAGTCGCTTGTCATTACCAGACGTAGGACGCCAACGGCGCCTAATCATGTCTACCACATCATAAACGGTGGTGGTGAGGTCGCTTTGCAAGCTGATAGTTTGTAGGTCGGGTAGAACGCTGGAGTCCTCCGACAATGCCCTACACAACTTTGACAGCTCTTGCGACGACCAGTATCGTATACTGAGGCTCGTCAGACGAGGGGTGCATCGGAATAAACATAGAAGGTACGAGGCATCGCCGTACGCAAGGTGATCAATACTGAGCGTTTTCAAACATGCTCTGGAGCGAACGAGAAGGTTTTGAAGGACTTGGGTGACACATTTCGTCTCATAACGGAGACACATGTCGTCCAACGTGATCTCCTGAACAGAAGGCATCGATACACTATCAAGGAAGGCGTTCAGGTGATAACCTGATAGTATACGGATCTTCCTTAATTGTGGTAGAACATGCACCTCGGGCGTTATCAGGATGTCCTTCGCAGTTGGCCGATAGACCAATTCCTCCAAACGGGACATGGAAAATAACACGTTTGGGAGCGTGGTACATCCACCTTCGTCGGAGAAATAGGTCAATTGATGCCAAGGAAATGAATCCTGGACGAGGTTCCAGCGTCTGCAAAGGGTCAATTTCTGTAATCGGGGAGCGAACTGGAATGGATTGAGGTCGGGGCGCATATCTTTTTGAAATGTGGTAGTATCTTTAAGAGACAGGGAGTGCAGGAGAGAAAGACGATTATGAATTGGCGTGAAAATTCGATACAGTGATAATGGCATGTCAAAAGTGACATTGGTCCAACGGTCAGAATGTGACACAAGCACGTCGAGAAGAAGGTGGGAGCTGCTAGAGAATCCAGTTGTGAATGTAAACGAGAGTGGACAGGTCGCGGACCGAGAGAGATAGGTTTTCAGCGCGCTGACCATTAATGGATGGCCACTATCATGTCGTGCAACCACAGCAAAGGAAGACCACACGCGAGGAGAAGATATAACAACATCTCTCCATAAAGCGCAAATCTTCTCCAACAATCGGGGCCCTTCATTCACTTCCCACACGTCACGAAGTCGAGACCGGGAATAGGCGACGAATATTTCTGACAGAATTTCGTTTGGTATTGTCGATATGGCTAGGATAGCTTTCTGGTCAGTAAAACTGGACACGGCTAAGGGGAAGTAGAAGACCAACCTGATCTCCCCGTTGGGGGACAGGTCTCTTGCGTGGCACATCGACATGGCGACTTGAAACCGTGTTCTAATTGAGCTTTGCCGAGCACCACTAAATTCCCCTCTGGCATGATGCTTGAGCTTCAACTGAACACATGTGAGAAAACTGGAAGAGCGAAGGAAGAACCCTACAGACCAAACGAAGAGAGAAACGAAGACGATGGAGACAAGGCTATTTCGTTTTCTTCAAAATGATACATATATACCTTGAAGCAGCGGCCAACCGCAAGCGAATCATACCCTGTACCCTGAGTACGACCGGATCCTTCAGAATGATGCATGAGGCCTGATGCATAATGTTCTACTTGTCACGATGGTTGCAAGAGAAGAGCCTGACGAAGAACATGTTCATTCTTACACCGCGCCTTCCAGTGACTAGGATCTGTGTCACTGTCTGCATAATATACGTACTGGTCGGTGTAGGACCCCCAAAAATGTGTCCGTACTGTTCGGGTAGATGCTGCGTCGAAGCATACTGTAGACTTGTGCCTTCGACACGGAGGGCCTCGCTGGCAATGGAAGGTTGGTCGCCGTAAAAGTCACGTGGCACTCCCACGCTATATTTAGGCCGCTCCCGGGTTTGACGGATTGAGAACTTCGCAGAGGCTGATACCGTCACGGAGACTTCAATTTCTGCACATACATCTTGTCAGGGATGCAGACCACGCATGTCGAATCGGCGCCAGTAGTAAAAATGCTTCGGAATTTTAACCAGCCGGAGTCAAGGTCCTGTAGAACTTTTCGAATTCACTACAACATCTGGAAATGCACCCTAGTTATGGGTGCTATCAAGTGCTATAGAGCGCTATATGGGAACTTACATCTAAGTCCCGAGTATAGATGGATACATTTCCCAGATGAGGTCGTGGTGAACATTCTCGCCGATTATGTTTCTCGATTGTTGACTTGAATACTACTATACAAGTAGGCGGACGCACTATTTAGTGTAAGAAGGTCAATGGTTAATATATAAGAAGATTGACAAGAGATTGATGGCCGCCTGGCAGTTACAGACACCACCTCAGTACTGCGTACGGCTGTGCTTTCAGTTACGTCGTCTGAAGAGGGCCAAAACTCTCTGCAAAGTTTCGTTAAGAGTATCCGGGATAGAAAGAGTCTGCAATACCCCAAACACCTGAAAGCGATCATGCCATTTGTAATGATCTTGCTGAGCATCGGTGTCGCTTTCAGAACCAAAGTCACCGTTGTCAAAGTTAGGCTAAACAAACTATCATATTACAAGGGATATAGCATCGAAGGACGAACTCACCAGGAGAAAGCTGGACCTGTCTTCCTGGCCTTCCTGTGCCATAGCGCGGGAGCGAGTCTGAAAACTCTGGTTTAACACAAGGACCACGCATTTGAGATAGAGAAAAAACAAACATATAACTCCGGACTTGACTGCACAGTCCTCAAGTAAGGTCCGTAATCCTCCACGCGAGTGGTGCGATAGTAGTCAGGCATAACTAGTGAATCCTGACTTCGGGAAAAACACGAAGAAAAGAACGAGAGCACAGGCATCACCAGAGGAATTCTCTGGCAGGTATGCACTAGAAGGGTAGCCAAATAACGGGGAAGGACAATTCCTTAAGAGGAGACACAGTGAGTCAGAAATGCAATACTCTCATGGCACTGTGGGAGCGACCACGAGGTAAAACCTTGTAGGATCTGCATCATATATACGTGCGATCTGACCCGATACAGATGCTCAGCTTTCCAGTTATGGGAACGCCGTGGGGAACGGTATCGAAACGGCGACTATGTGAGAGACAACTGAACGTCATTGTACGAGATTTCACGGTCGTAGAAACCCCGTCTGATATGCGCAAAAAGTGTCATGGATGCAAATATGACTTTCAGCGAGTTGTGAGAACCTTGATACCGAGTCATGCATGTTTGGGATTCATGGACACGTGCGGACATAGGCTGAGTGGATCTAACAGCACTACAGGACCAGGACCGGCTAAAGCGAGGCTTACTCCTTGCAGCAAAGAATGGTTTCATCCCAGATTGTATCAGCCAAATTCAGAAATCGTGATTCCCAAAGCAAGATAATGGCCATCACTTTTGGCAGGGGGAAGCAACTCCGGTGTAGAAGCTCCGGTTTGTGAGAGATATATATCAAGGAAGCATCCGGAAGCGCCCCAATAGCATGCTTCCCAGTTGCATCGCATACAGGATGCTTGTGTATGTCACTGAAACGCTGATGGCGAGACTTGAAGTTCCTGCGAATCCATACCCGAAAAGATGATAGTGGCAGTTCAGGATAAGATAATCAGACCGACAAACCCGGCATAGGCAAAAGATGGTGCGCATAGCATCTGAAAGCACCAGAAATGGTCAGAATCCTGCCATCCCGGAAATTGGTAGTTGGAATTCCACAACACGACGCTCGGGATAGACAAGCCAAGTATGAATTCTCCAGTTTTGTATCTCCGGTTATAGGCTTCGAAAATCTATGAATCAGCTTGACATGATGAATGTACTGCGCCGGGAGTCGGGATGGGTCATGATAAATGACCTACAGTCATATACGAGGCTGGCGGCGGTGCAAGACATTGGAGGCGTAGTCATTGAGGAAATCAGACAGTTCTGATATCATATGAAGTCAAATATCCTTACAGATTGCTACTGATCGAAGTGAAGGTGATAAATGTCGGTAAGCTCTCGGAGGGTATGTCCCCAGCCCATCTTCAGCAGAGTAGAACAGAAAAAGGGTCTGATCATCGATGATAGCATTCACAAGCTTTCCTTGGATAGTACCCTTGAGAGCCAGAAGGATACAAATAAGAGAAGAGCATACGCAAAACAGGTGAATCGCTAGGACGAGGCGCTGGAGGTGGGAAGATCGTAGTGCTGCATTTGCGGGCCGCATTATAATACATGTTCCGTAACCATCAAGAAGGTGGATATCATCTCGTCTGAGTAGTCCCCATGGTGCAGATCAGTGACCGAAGTTCCTGTTACTGGGCAAGTTCGATGTCAAGAAACAAAAGCAAGAGACCATCTGTATGATGAAGTTCTGCCTGAAAAAGTCAAACCGACACAAGATATTACTAGCTGTGTGGTCAGAACTTGAAATGATATAAGGTGCGCGATTGACAAACTCTGTGACCAGTGAAGATGTCAAGAGGTCGAGACCCAACGTCGGCCTTTTCGGAGTTACACCTATTTATAATTATTTTCGTTCTGATGTACCTCGGTCTTTTACAACCATTCGGGTGAAGTACGTTTTTCTTAACTCTACACATTAAACGTACTTATTACTACGTAGATTGTTGTTTCCTAACAGAAGATGTCATGCTCAAGCGGCCACCATTCTAAGTGAGGATCAGGATGATGATCATGGTGGTAGTGAAGTTCATGTTCAATTTGGCTGATCGCCGACTCTGCGGCATTGGCCTTGTCGTGCCGGAAACCCGAGCTCTTCCTGTCTACGACTCGTCTATGCCGTGCACACGCTTGGATAAGGCTATGCATTCGCCGTGTCAATCTACGTCTACTATTCTGCGTTCTCAGGCTATGATAGCAGTCCTTCTGGTCTGTCAGATTGCAATGATTACTAGCGATCATTATCATCAACACTGAGACCGAGTAATTGGAACAACAAAGTTTTGTATGGCTACTATGTCGACCCATCTTCATCCAGAAATGGATTGTAATGAAACACTATCTGTGCTTGCTCTCCCTTCCATTCCATGATGCAGCCACTCTGGCAACATGTTCTCCTCGGCTTTCTTTTGCTTGAGTCCTCAGCGCAAGGGAAGCTTGTCAACGTAACCATCGACGATCAAAGTCCTTCCTTGTTTTACTCTCCTGACAATGGATGGACCAACAGCCTATTACAATGTACAGGTTGTACTGCACACCCTAATGCCTCAAGAGCAATTGACGGAACATGGCATGATTCTACAGTGAGGCTGACCTTGAAATCGTTCAACGTTCGTTTATATCCATGACTCGTAGCACGATGCGGATGTTGAAGGTCAAGTTAGTCCCAATCAGATATACAACGTATCCACCTCGTTTAACGGTGAGGATCACATTCTCATTCATAAAATAAAAGAGTTTCTAAAAAGTTATACCAGGCACAGCCATCTATGTGAAATGCATACTCGCCGAAACCACTTCTTCACCCGACGGGGACTCAGACATGAGCTTCTACATTGACGACAATCTCGTTGGCCAGTTCACAAAGGCAGCTCCCGGAAATCCAGTTTACGATTATAATGTTACCGTGTATTCCAACACTTCTATTCCTGCTGGTCAGCACAGATTCACACTTCAGAACGGACACGTTGGCGGAATAAAATCCTTAGCCCTTTTCGACGCTTTCGTGTATTCGTATGTGCCCATCACTGCTTACATCAACAGTCAATTCATGGGGTTTCTACAGCTACGATGATGGTCAATTGGATCATAACCAAACCGGGCCTACCACGGACACTGGCATGCCATCCAAGGGCCCGAACGTAAGCGCCATAGTCGGATTCTCTGTTGCAGGGTCTCTCGTCCTGGTTTTAGGCATCTTTACCTTTCTTCTATTCCGGCTGCGAAGAAGACAAAGGTTGAAGTCTAACACAGAGTCCACCGCAGAAGTTCCCGGCAACAACCAGACTGTGCACAGCGACTCCGCGATAATGCCATTCCTTCTGGGCGGTCATCATACACAATCATCAATTACCGCTGCATCTTCCATCAATAGGTGCGGCTCCCGACACACGAAGATTACTCAGAGCCAGTGCAAGGACAGAAGCATCACTCAAGCGTCCCATCTGGCTGCTGGTCCTTCAGAATATGGGGAAGCCCCACCGTCATATTACTAGATCCCCAGACCAGGGGAGCTCAAAGTTGAGCGAACATGTCCTAGAACGTTGTCGTTTACTTACAATTCTCAATTCACTAGTTGATCTCGCGCGCTGATAATATTGTCATTTCTTCTTCATCTCACCTTCATCATTGCTTGTACACATGTGTCGGGACTCAGCTATTTTTCCTTGACCAGATGTTGTTTTTCTTCACCCTTATAGGCTACCCCTTTTGGGTAACCTAAATGTTGAGCAGTGGACCTGGGAGCTTGGGAGGACACAGTGGTGAGAGTGCGTGGCGATATGAGCACAGGGAGGATCAGACTGTAAGGACAAAATAAAATGTATATCTTAGCGGATGGTAGGTCGCTGAGATAGGTATGTATGGTACCTGTAAGGACAAAATAGAATGTATCTACTATGTGTCAGTAAGGTGCGGTGCAAATAAATGTAAGGTTCTTAGCAGATGGTAGGTCGCTAAGGTGTGTGGCAGTGTAAACGGCGAAAATTTGCAAGTATCAGTAACTAATTTAGAGCGTACAACTGTACCTGCAGTCCTCGTACTCTCAACACCGAAGGAGTGTCAGTGTAGGTGCAGCAAGCCGATGCCAGTAGCATATCCGCCTCTATTCTTTTTTTTTGGTAGAGCATCGTACGCCCGTAGGCCGTACGTAGTAAAACGGCAATTAACCAAGTAAACCCAGCCTGCATGCTTAGGAAGGGGGGAAGCCCCTGGGATGGAGAAGAGATAAGGTAATTTAACCTGAGCGAGGTAGCCGTACCAGAAGATCTACATGGAGAAATGCATTACAATTATTCAAGTTCATATGGGACTCGGTGCCTTCCTCGTGGCCGTTTTCTGCTTGGCACTATACCCACTAAGACCCCGTTCTGGTGACCGATCCTCCGGCAAGGCTTTCTCGTCGTGCAACGTGCCCCTCCATGTCGACAGGATCGTCTTTGTTTTCAATGCTTTCGACCCGTATTTGTGCACGTTGGTAAGCAAGTAGACTATCGATCGTTAGCCTTCGGTCTGTCGCATCAATCCGTGCGTTCTAGCTTGCTCTCTCGTGTGCGATTTGCAGGGTCATCGTCTCCTCTCTGCATGCACCTTCGGCATCGTATTTTCCAGATGAAACGCACAGCCTCCGTCATCAGAATCCTGTATAGTCTTGTCGCACCTCTGTCAACACATACTTCTGGCATTTTAATTTGGACTAGAGTCGCTCCTAGAGCTATGCCGTATGAAGGACGAACCCACTCTTTCCCGGTTTTCTCCCACAATTCTTGGGTTAGACTCCATAAGGTAGCACATCCTTTGATTTGGCAGTCTATCAATATATGCATCATAGTTTCAGCCACCTTGCAGTGCGGACATTCACCTCGCATCGCACACTGGGGCCCCAGTTTCTCCCCGAATGTTCCTATCTTCAGAATCTTCTGTAAAGCTTTCCAGAGAAATCTACGGATCGGTCGCGATACATCCTTGTTACAAATCGACGTCTAGATACGTGTCTCCAGGGGTTCTGTTCCGTTCATTTCCTTCACAGTCGCTAAGATTTGGTAGACTGTGTTTCGTGCTGACAATCGTTCCTTTATGCTAATCCTTGCCCATATCAGCCTGTAGCTCTGACATGGTGTTAGCTTGACCACATCAAATTGATGGATCATCTGTGTCAGCGCCCATTAGAGCCCCTTCTTCTGCCAGAGCATCAGCTCCCTCCTTTCCATGTTTCCGCTGTAACCTTTCGTCCATTGGAAGTAGATCAGAGCGCCCATCTGCTTCTATTCGTTCGTTTCACCTTGAAATTGAAATGTGCCTGTGGGTGACAGATGATTGATGATCGAGCAAAGGGTCCATCGAAAGCCAGACGCCGATCAGATAGTGTCCCACTGGAATCTTCATCAAAGTCTACCCAGTTGAAGATGGACCTTAGCACATGAAAATGTTCGACAACGCGTCGACTTGAGGCAGCATGGACATGGACAGAGCATTAGTGCCGGTGTAGAACATCAATGTATCTCTTTCGTTGTCGTCGATCCGCAAAAAGTTCGTTTCCTATAAATTCAGAGCACTGCTCTGGCAGACGGTGCGCTTTGCCTAGACCATGATGATTCTCTTGCCTTGGTTACAATCCACTTGTTCTAGATTTCATCCCTCTTTCACTGGTGCTCTTTCAGCGCAATGTCAAATGCAAATCAAGGAACCCAAATGCCTACGAATAAAAATACAACACGATGGATTTAAACATAGCTGTCATACGGACCAGGACGCAGAAGTGAGGTATAATAATAATACGTGGTGTGATACGTGATATGAATACAATCCAAATGAAAGAGTCATATAATAACGTCCCTCAGTTAAACGTTCAAATCTTCGACGAAGCAGCCCTTTTCGGAGCAGAGTTCTCAGCACTCAACGTTCCCCCACCTCGGGCTCCAGCACTCGACGACCTTCCACTTGCCGAGATACGGGGTGTCTCAAACGAGGTGTCTTCACGCGCCTGGCTGAAGAACAGTTTGGCGTCCCGCTCGGAGATATTTTCGATGAAGTATGTATTGCCTGACAGAAAGATTAGAATACGCAACCTCGTGCGAGAATGGTCCGCATTGCTAACCTCGAGGAACCATGAACATGGCACCAGTACAGAGGATCATGCTAGTTTCGTTAATCCTAAGATTAATAGCACCTTCCATGACATAAAATATCTGCAAACGAAATTAATACTCCAAACTAAGAAATCTTCATGCAGCCTACATAAGTGTTATCCTTTGAACGTTTAGAATCCTTTCGACTTCGCGGTGGAATGAGCATCTGCCCAGCAGCCATGAAATTCCCATCGCCGAAGATCTTCTCAAAGAACCAGTTGCTGTTTCCAGCTTGTTGGACATTCACCATTCGCGCCGTACATGCAATACCTGGAAGAGCATGTCAGGTCCGCATGAGACAGTGAGGTACAAAAGCTCACGCCGCAGGCGGGGTTGACCGTCAGGATATGTAAGTACTTCACAGTGCGTGTTAGTCTCATCGTCCCAACCTTTCTCGGGATTAGGATCAGGATACTCCACAGGTGCTTTACTCTTGCTTCGAGTAGATCGCTTTCTTTTCTTGGAGCCGAGAGGTTCGATAGGCTCTGGAGCTAACCGTCGAATTTCCCTGACTTCAGGAACAAGAATACGCCCTTCAGTTATGCGTCCATACACTCGCTTCTCTAAACGCCACCACTGCAGAGGCTTACATGGCCTCCTCTGGCTTCGTCGCACGCCTTCAGGTGACACACCTGACAAACCATTAACTGTAGAACATGAAGCAAGGAATGTTACACACTACGGTTCTCTTTCAGTCGGCGACTGCTGGTGCTAAGCGCCTTCTTCTTTGTCTTGGCCTTCTCCACCCGTACCTGTTCCTGGGAAGGCTCATTATCTTCATCATTGTCCGATTGAGGCTCCCGATCCAGCCGTTCTAGTTCGTGAGCAATACCGGCCTCAACGTCTTCTTCTGGCTCTTCCAAAGTGACCCGTTGTTTACCCTTCTTAGGTTTCTTCGCTGAAGTGAGAACAGGAAGGTCGTCACCCTGCTGTTCATCGCCATCGTCACGGTCCATCTCCATGAAACTAGTTTGTCGTGGCGAGAGGGCATCATCTTGGCTAAAATTGTCATAGTCCCCGTTGGACACCGTGCCACTGTTTTGATGTTCAGGTTCTTCATCCATTAGATCATGAGCAGTAACCGTTTCTGATAGTCGAGATCGTCCCCGGCCGTTGGATCGACTGGACTGATTGCGAGGTGACGGGACTTCATCAAAGTCCACGTCAGATACTCTGACAACCGGACGTGAAGAAGAGCCAATGCGTCTTGAAGACGAAGGTGTAGCAGGCTTTCGAGAGTTGGAAATGTAATGAATAGGACCTGTGCGACGTTAATGATCTGAAAGGTTTTGATACGATTCTTTGCTTACTATCATCCAGATCCATATCCTGTTCACCATCCTCATCCACGATGTCCTCTTCCAGTTCAGAATCCCGTCGCTTTTTGCCCCTCTTCTTTGCCGGTGGCGTTCGCTGGTCAGCTTGCTGCAAAAGCTGCTCGAATGGCTCGAACCCGTCGCCGCGAGTAGTCACTCGTTTCACTGTAACACCTGTCTTCTTCCCAACTTCCGGGTTGTCGCCACGGTAGGGTACGTGAGGCTTATCACGTCTAGAGGTTCCTACGCTGCTGCGTCGTGGTGTCGAAGGCATGCTGTTCAAGAGACAAACGGAGAGGCGTGTGAACAAACGTGACGCGTGTGGTTGTGTTTGGCTTCAGGGTGGTGTCCTCCGATCGCTCACGGATGACTCCCGACGCCCGACGCAGTCCTTATGTAAGTAAGGATGGTCCAAAAAAAATGTAACTGCTAAACCATTGTTGCACCTTTCTATTTGCTAAAAAACCAACGGAGAACTATTGATTCATTCGGTATTGATAGCTACCAGTATCCAAGGCATTCTCACATCTCAGCCTCTGATGCCTGATTCAATCTAACATCCCATCTATAACAGTCCCTTTTTGGTTCTCGGACGCCGCCAGAAAATCTTTGTGAGGCAAAACAAAGCACCTTAGTATCCTCCACTGGTTCGTCCTCAACGCTTGTCGTGTCACCTCTGACAGGGACATTTCAACATCAACTGCTACGCTTCCCACTGAAATTCCGGGATATCGGCACCCACAAGATTAGACAGTCGAATTATTGTCTGGCTCGACCATTCCCCTACCGCATGGCCGAAACCTCTTAGGTCAGAATCATCGGTTGTTTCGACCCCGGGACTTTTTTCACGTATGACCACTGATTCTCTTAATTCCAAGAATGGTGCTGAACCAGTCTGTCACTGTTCGAGTGCACCAACGATACTAATATCAAAAACGTTAAATCACGTAGATAGGAAGCGCTCCTTGGCTGTACGGTCTTGATAGTATGAACATAATCATCTATGCTCGTCATCATCGTCACTAGAATCTGGAGGGTCTTCTTCGTCATTCTCAGGATATTGATGGTTCGGATTTCTAAACAAGAGGTCTTCCTCATCCCCGGCATTATCTGGTGACGGTGTGAGACATCGTACAACCATACTCGTACAGCTCACCCTTTTCCTGACGAGACTCCTCCCAGCTTTGCTCCAAGTCCTTGATTATCTTGTCCTGTGTTTCACTAATCTCGACGGACGAAGTGCATGCCTTGTATTGTTCCAAATAAGTCCTGCGAGGCAGATTGTAAGCGGTGACGGCTCATAGCAAAGAAGAAGAAGAAAATTACTTATTGACACTCCAAAATGAACCGCCCCATCCAAAACCCGACAACAATTTCTCGGCGTACGAATCGAAGCCGGTAATGTAAAAGGCAGCGGCCAACGCTTCGACACAGTTGAGCCGCCATGGCTTCCCGTAATTTGTGGGATTGGTAGCAATCAGGTAAGGTACTTGAAAGAGGCATGCATAAGCCCGCGTTACGAAAGAGAAAGACAACGCACAGAGACGCTCATGGGGGCTGGCAATCTTGGAGAAAGGCACGTCGTCAAGGCGCGCCCAAGAGCACTCGACGACGGCAAGTCCGCATTGTTCAATGATTTCCCGGTCTGCAGGTGATATCACTGACGTTCCTTTCGGGCTGTCTCGACATATAAAGGAGGGTATCAATGCAACGAGTGAAATAAGACGGACGAGACGACGATTCCTCGAAAGCGTGAACCGACTCGAAGCTCCTGTATCAGACCCAATCGTGCGAGCTTCTTTCCCGAACATCGTCGTGGATCGCAATGGTCAAAATCCTGGTCTGGAGTCAAGCATGAACCTCGGATCGCGCTTACGAACTAACCCACATAGCAACCGGTACTCTGATAGTGATGTTGTCCTCTGCAGATAGAATGTAAACCAGATACAAAAAGCTGAAAGGGAAAACCAACCTTCTTCATCATCTCCACTATCCTCGCCGTCGTTTACGCTGTCGATTGCACTTTCTGGTCGTTCATCAAGGCCGGAAACATTCCTTCCACCACGCTTAGATCCTGACCCACGGGACCGGCCACGACCAACTGGCTTTCCACGTTTGCTACGACTAGATGAAGCTGAAGAGAAATCTAAATTCTTTTTCCCCATTGTGGCTGGGCGGAGAGAGGATTGATCGTGGGAACTATTTCCTGCTTTCTCTTACGCCTTGAAATTTCTCTCTTCTCATGTTCCCGACATTGGCGCGGTTCTCAAAGGCGTCGCGGCGGCCTCTCACCTCAAAACGCGCTGGAAAAGACTTTTACAAAGGTTGGCGTCCGCTAACGAGGGGACAAAATACCCAAGCTGACGACTTGTATAGGCACTAGACAATCAGCCTTACCTGGTGGTCCTCGAACCGGTGCACCCGGTAAACATGTAATCCGTGGCAAAGCGAAATACCGCCTGCTAGACGAGAAAGTTCGTATATTCATCGCGCCTCCCATCGAAGCGATAGAATCATCGCCTGTGCGTGGACCTTCCGACTCTCCCCCAATATGTCCTAACCAGCCCTAGCTGAAAGCGTATGTCGAGCGCGGTGTACATCTGACAAAGAAGGAGGAACGGGCAGCATTTGGGAAATTTACGACCAATGGAGGCCTTACACCAGAGCACTTCCTCAAGGTCATGAGGAAAGCAGCTGGTCAGCGGCAAGGACAAGGGAAAAATAAGATGCCGTCGAACGAGCTGTCTGTGGCTGACGCATTAGCAGTCCCTACCGCAGTGGATACGTCATCCGGGAAGAAGCGCAGGCAACTAAGCGTGCTATAATCCCCCACCCTTCCCCCCGAGGTACGTCGAACACGCTTCTGATATCCTAGTTCTCATCTTTCCCATTTAGTTTTGTATCATAAATATGTAAATATACTTCCATTTGTTTTCCAGCGTACAAGCGCCCAGCATCGATCTCCTTCTACTTTACCACTTACATCAAACGACAGTCGTTCGCCTAGGCCGGTGCCACATCTCATATCAAGATGGATGTTCAAAGTCGTCCTACAGGGCTTCGATGGTTGGCACTCGGTGAAACACGTCAATGATGCTTATCAACACGAAAAGATATAGGTTGCCCACAATAAGACTTCGGGCCGATCATCTTTCGATGTAAGCATAAAACCCCGCCGATAAACCAGAAATCTTCTTGTGGGCCCTGTTTGCTGTTTCAGTTGTCTGGGAGCCATCTATCTCGCTCTCTAGTCGTCCTGACGCTCTGTCTCGCACCTATGACCAGCCAAGGGCTTTCAGTGACAGACTATGCACCTTCCACTGGGATAACATGTCCACAAACTTCCCTCCTCCGCGTTTTCTCTGCTCAAAACCAGAGTCTGAATCCAAGCGAGATTGATTACATCCAAGGCCGAGAAAACGTACTACTGGACGCCTGGAATATGTGGATAGGGAAAGGCTCCAATTTGGGATACAATATGACCTTCTCTGCAGACAATGCTCCCAGAGTCGGTATAGCGTTGAGTGGAGGAGGTTTCCGGGCAAGTTTGTATGGCGCTGGCGTCCTCAATTCTTTGGATGCACGTAACGCCTCCGCGAAGCAAGCGGGGACCGGGGGGCTGCTCCAGGTCGCATCATACATGGCCGGGTTATCAGGTGAAGCTCTATACGTACAGGTGGCGAAGCCCGCTGGCTGATCTCAGTCTTCCAACAGGCGGATCTTGGTTCATTTCTTCACTATACTCGAATGATTTCCCCACCGTTCAGGACTTGATCTTTGGAAACGGAAATGAACGGGCAGGGTGGCTTCTTGACTTGGACCTCTTCCTCCCTGACGGCGTCGATATATTTAACGAAGATAATCAAGCATATTACGGAAGCATTATGTGGAGTGTCATTGCGAAAGCCAGTAAGGGAATGTGAATCCGCTTTTACGCGTTTCCGTGGCGCACACTGACGATCCCCTTTGTGCGTGCGTAGCGACACCAGCTTAACCGATCCTTGGTCTCGGTATGGGTCTTTTTTTTTTTTTTCCTTTTATGCTTACATCTGTCGATTCAACATACATTCTTCTCCCCAGCGCGCTATCGTACCATTTTTTAAATCAAACCAACAGAGCCAACTTCTTCACGAACGATTCCGCGCATGGGGCCGGACAGCTCTGGTCTGATATACCTTCATCTCAGGTGTACCAGCAACGAAACGTTCCATTCCCTATCATTCTGGCAAACTCCCTACCAAATGGATCGAATTATACCGGGGTCTTACCGCCCGAAGCCACAGTCTTCGAAGTTCGATGGGTCATCGTCGTCATCGAGTATTTCTGCTGATAAGGCTTTTTGACAGTTCTCTCCGCTGGAGCTGGCTTCGTATGACCCAAGTCTTTCCGCTGCGATGGATCTCAAATTCGCCGGGTCTAATCTGACTGATGGAAAGCCGGTGGATGATCGGGTCTGCATCGAAGGTCTTGATGAAATTGGGTTTGTGATGGGAACGAGTTCGAGTATGTTCAATGTGAGGATTTTTCTCAGCTTGGATGAAAAGCGTGTTTGATGTGAACTTGGTAGCAAATTCTCGATGAGGACACGGAGAAATTTCAGGAGGATAAGTATTTCGAGGTCATGACATATCTATTGGCGCGGTTATTGGAGGATGTTCGGACCCGGGATGATGACGTTGCCAACTGGCCCAAGTGTGTTCATTTCGGACGTTGCAGCTTCTCGCAATGTTCTAACTCGTGAATAGCTCTTTTAGGAATGTTGCACCTTCTACGTTTGTGGATACGAATAGTGACTGGCTAGAACTCATTGATGGAGGATCCAATGGTGAGGTCGTGCCTTTCAATCCTTTACTAGTCAAGGCCAGGGGACTGGACATCATCGTGGGTATAGATTCGAGCGCCGATGACGAAAATAACTGGCCAAAGTAGGCGGCTTCTTTTCTTGGAACATTGATATTCTTGAACTAGTTGCAGCGGCGAAAGTGCTATCTTCACGGCGAACAGAACGTCGAAACTGCTTAACGACACGGTCAGTTAGACACATTCTTGGCACCCTCACCTATGACTGACCTTTGTTATTAGCATCAGCAATTCCCTCCGATACCCTCCACCACCCAGGAATTCATCGACAGGGGTGCCAACCAAAGGCCCACCTTCTTCGGTTGCGATCCACAGCAGTCACCTCCGGAATGCCCACTCGTCATCTACTTGCCAAATTCTCCGCCTTTGACAGGGGATTATCCAGTCACGAAGTAGGTGCTCGTGTTAACATCATGTATCTGTACTGACGATGACCTACAGCACTAATACCTACAAATTTTCTTACACACAGAAACACAGCCAGCTCTTCATCGACCAGGTCTTTTCCAATACCATCGGAGGATTTGCACCCAACTCCAACTCGCCTGGTTCCAGCTTTGGGGAATGCCTACAATGCGCAGCTGTAGATCGAGCACGGCTAAAGTCAACGGCCTCAGTGTCTCGATCTGAGGTGTGCTCTCGGTGTTTCGAGCAATACTGTTTCGACCCGAAGAACCCACCAACACAGGTGGAATCGCCCAATAGGAGATACGTATTTGTCGATCCAGATTCAGAGAGTCATTTCGGACGGCACAAGGCGGCCATTATTGGAGGCGTGGTTGGGGCTGTGGCCTTGGTTGTGCTGGTTGCTGGCATGTACGTTGGGCATTTCTTTCTCCCCTGGCGGGATATACTGATTGAACCGTAGAATATATCTGTGTCGGAGGACGAAGCTGACTAAAAAGCGTGTACAGCACTACTCGCCGACAAAGTCGGCATCCGACTTGCAAGCCATGATTCGGTGCAATAAATAGTACTAGTCTTATTTGTATTAGCAAGAGTACGTATACTAATGGGCTTCCCGTCCATTTCTCAGAGATGGTTTGAAATTGCGCTCCAAAACGAAGCTAGGCACGTTTGTTATGATGCTTTCCCCCTTCTTTCCTTCTGTCGGTGATCTAAGCACTGTACGATGCTAACCCACCGGCAAATCCCGGTCATGGACAAATATATATTCCAGTTTGAGAAGCATGGCCCTGAACATAACAGAGCCACATGGGTGCACTGTCTACAACGACGTCGACGAGGACAATCTATTGTTTGGCATAGACCTCTACACACCCCTTCTTTCTTATCTCCTCAAGCGACGCTCGCCAGCCATTCTTTTTACTCCATCGATCAGCCTTCCTTCAAGTATCCGCCTGCGAGATTGCATCGCATTACACCCCCATCTCAACGGCGGATAGCATATATATACCGCGCCCGTGATCCTTAATCCAGGTGTTAGAGAGGGCTGCGTTTGCATTGAGACGGCTGTTTTTCTTGTGAGCGAGACTTTGTTCTTACTTGAAATCCTAGCTTGAAATCCTATCTGAAAAGCAGGCTTCATTCTACAGTCTTAACGACGAACTTATCCAGGCAGTAGGCGTTTGGTAGAGCCATCTAACAATTGTCTCCGGCCAGCCCATATTCATTACTCAATATCAATACCCAATCTGCACGGACCTTCACGCATGTCGTTCGACTCGGTTTCTTCGTCCTCTGGCTCGTCGGCATCCCGCCCGCTCACAGTCGACATACCGGCACAATACCCCCCCGAAAGCAACTCCTCCTCCGTTAATTCTTCACTCAACTCTTCTCCCACCGCCACGGAGGGAATGACCATACCGAGTCCCTCCCCCAAAGGAATCCTTGATATACGAAATCGGATAGCGTCTCCGCCCTCCTCTACGACTTCATTACCAACCTCGACAATGAATGTAAAATTTGCCCCTCTGCCCGAATTGGCTCCCCGTCGAAGGAGTTCCACAACACCTCTAGGTGTGGCCGCGCGCAGTCAGCTCATGCGCCGGCGTCGAGGCATGCATGGAGACGAGCTGCCGTCCGTTCCGTCGGGGAACGGGATGTGGACGGAGGCTGAGCTCGAAGAGCACGCACGGCGGATTGCCAGCGAGGCGCACGTCCGTCACGAACACAGTACTAGGGACCAAGAGGATATCGAGGATCCTTTCCTCGCCCTGGGCAAAATGATGAAGGGAGCGTGGAAGAAGATGTCGAATAGCCGTGGAAGCACACGGGCGAAGACCAGCAGGGTAGTGTCGGGCGTGACGGATTCGATGCCGCAGCAGGAACCGCGGACAAGTAGTAACCTCAATGTTCGTGAAGACTCTGAAGCGGAACGGGGGGGCGTCTGGGAGGAAGAGATAGGCCATGCTATAGCGAGGAATATCGGTCAGACCGAAACGATATGTGAGGTCGAGCGCCAAAAAAAGGATTCCCCATCATCATCATCATAATTTTATATCCTCTATGCTATCATACAATCATTTACAGTACTCTGTTTAGTTTTTCATAACTGGATGTACATATTTCGCCGGAAGCGTATACATATTGGGTTTAAATGTTTTCGAACGTCTATCGCAGAGCCTGCCTCGAGTCTGGCAGGTTTTGTGCATTACAATGGCGTATATATCAATGATGTGTGTCGATGGCTGCTACTAGTACGATGATACCACTCGTTTCTAGTGTCACCAGGCTTACGAATGGAGCACAGAAATTCCTTAACACGTAAGGAGATTTTACATTTTTGAGTCTACAATAATCACTTGCTTCGAGAAAGCTAAAGCAGAACTTGGACGTCCGCAAACGTATTAAAGCCCTTTGCGAATCCTACGTATACACAAGGAATGAGGGTGAAGAGTGGATCCGTTCGTCGCAGATCACCCTAGGTAATGCAACTCACTATCGAATCGGCACAAGATGATCGTACTGAGTGCGGAAGCGGTCGTCAACGAGAAACTGCCTCCGAAATAAGACGTAAAAGGCCGCGAAGTAGCCACGGATAGAAGATGTTTCGCATGTACGTTGGAACTCCGTAAAATGGGCCCAGTAGAGATTCACGACACGAAGATGATTGGAAAATGGAAACGTTAAAATGCGGTGATGAAAAGGTCACATGATCGAAACTTCCCAAATTGGTCGTTCCCCTACCTCCACCTCAACGAGAGCATTTCGTCCATCTCCAATGGCCTTGATTACCATATCCGGATATCCATGCTCTGGAAAATCTCGTCGAGCCCAACAAATTGTCAGCTTTATCCAAGGAAAGCTAAAGGATCCCGAATACAACGGTCCCCAATACAACATTGTCCTCATCTCCGACGAATCCCTCAACATTTCCCGTTCAGCATATGATGGTCCGCACCTTGCTGCATGTACCTTGTGGGAGTTCCCGCTGATGTCCCATCAGACAGTCGGTTGGAAAAACCGGCTCGGGGCGCCCTCTTTACTGCGCTGCAACGCCAGATTTCTCTGAAGAACATCGTCATCGTCGACGCTCCGAACTACATCAAAGGGTTCCGGTATCAAATATACTGTGCGGCTAGGGAGTTCAAAGTACGCGTGTGCACTGTAAGGAGTTCATTTTTCCTTCCCCCCTCTGTGTCTCCTCTTGATTGCCCTTTTGAAGTAGGTATATGTCGTCGCGACGCCGGAGCGATGCAGAGAATGGAACAGTTCTCGTGTTGAATCTGAGAGATACGCACCCGAGACGTCTGTTCTGGTTTTTTTAATATCTTGCTTCGATGAATTTATGACCTGTCTTTCAGACTCGAGAATCTCATTCAGCGGTACGAAGAGCCTTCATCGATGGTCCGCTGGGACTCGCCACTCTTCACGATTCTATGGACGGATGAAGACATTCCATCTGTCGATATATGGAAGGCCATTACGGATGGCGTCGTGAAACCGCCTAATTCCGGGACACTTTCTGTGCGTCTACGCCTCTCTTGGTCCCTAAAAACCAATCTAGATATCCGCTTAGATCACAAAAGCGCCGACGGATGCCCTCATCACCCTTGAAAACACCACCCTTTCTATCGTATTCTCGATAATGTCAGAGCAAGGTGCCTTGCAAGGTGCCGGGGGAACCGTTCAGCTCCCCATCTCAGCGACTTTGAAGCCCAAAGTACATCTCCCTGCTCGGAACCTCACGCTGTCGGAGCTTCAACGTTTGAAACGGCAGTTTGTGACAGTTCACAAGAAAGCTATAACCTTGGGCACGACGGAGAAAGGTCATGTCGACTGGGACGAAGATAGAATAGCAGAAAAGTTTGTCGTGTATCTTGAAGAGCACTTGAAAGACTAGGAATAAGAATGTGCTTGCTTTCGGGACACTTGGTATCTTCAGTGGAGTCCTCTGAAGTTCCTTCTTGGAAGAAAACATATTTCTGAAGAATAACGTTTTGCACATACGTGCCCTATCGGACTCTTTGAGAGAGGAAGAAGATAGGAATAGACAATACTTTTAAACTTCGGGCCGTAAGCTCGTCTCAGATATCCGCGTTGTCAGCATTGGCTTTTCTTTTCTTACCACAATGTGATCAAGTCCTATGCCCTAACAATACCAAGTCTTACACACAGGTCAAGTGACAGCGAGCTCTTGCTCTCACGACACGTTGGCCATGAATCTGTTCCCCAAGGTACGCCCAGTCTTGAAATTTGCGGTTTATGCTCAACGGACTATATATAACAGCATCAGTTGCAACCCATCAAGGTCGATGAAGATGGAGCCTGGAACTTCTTCGACGGGGCGCTGAAGACGTATTTTATCGGCTCAGACGGGACTGGGAACTTCACGTCACGTCAGATTTTCAAGCACTCAAACCCTCATACAGGAGCTGGGAGAGAGTCTACGGCAACCCGTGCGTGTCGTCTATACTAACGTTCGGCGTCGTTTTCCCAAGTACGTTAATTCGCAGCTCCGTACCATTGGCATATTCATCAAACCGAGACCTTTGACGTCGTGCGTGCTGCAGACCACCTTATGGTGATGGCTCACTAACCAGATCATAGAAAGCTGGCGTTCTCTGCTACGACTTGGATGGTAATCAAGGCAGACTCCAAGCCGGAGAGTCAGTTACCATCACTCCTGGTCGTCACCATACGGTGCGTTACAATCCTCAGTATACCTGAACACCATTGGATATACGCGATTCTCAGTTCTGGTCCGACCCGGAGGTAGGTCAAGACCTAGACGTCCACATCACTGTCAACGGGGGACCCAATCCCGGGTTCGTGTCTCCCTTCTCCTTGCCTTTGCTCTCCCCCCACCGACTACATTCCCTTAGGTTTGACGAAACATTTGTGCATAATTTCTATGGCTACCTGTCCTCTGTAACCATGCAAGGACTCAAGCCAAGCATCTTCCAGATGCTTGCCTTCATGGACCACGCGGATGTCGTGCTGGTTGATTTCCCTTTCCAGACTGGCCGTCTGGCCAATCTGGTTCTTGGACGGTGGATTGGCTGCTACATCGGAGGCTATGATGTTGAGTATAAGGTTTTTGGCGAGAAAGCAGCATGAGTCGAGCGACTACTCCATGTTATTTAATTTGTGTATTTGTACGAGTTTGTTTCTCGAAAATATAGCCCATCCTTTGGTGTCAATTTATCAAGTTCATTGCAAATGGTGGAAATACACTTGATATATATACATGCTGAGGGGAAACTTCAATTGTCCCAAAATAGAAATTGTTGCATGTCTTCTCTTCCTTGTCTAAAGGCGGCCTTGAAACGCTGTATATCTCGCAATTATGCTACCGCGACGCGCACCTCACCTCAGCCCGGAGACAAAGGTCTCTCTTTCGACTTAGACTTGGAAAATTTCACTAACATCCTTTGGTAGTGATAATCGGCATGTCTGGCGGTGTCGACTCGTCGGTTGCAGCTAGATTATTAGCAGAACAAGTCCATAACTGTCCCTTCGATCCCTGAAATGAAGAATAATCAATTACCATAGGATTTTGATCTTTCCGCCGTATTCATGCGTAACTGGGACACTCGCGATGAAAGTGGCACAGACGAGGGCTGTGAGTGGAAAAGGGACTGGGAAGACGTGCAACGCGTGTGTAAGGTCCTGGATATTCCATGCCGAATGGTATGCATTTTTCGGTCTGTCCCAGTGATACTGCCTACACAGTTTAGATCGATCTATCGCGTGAATACTGGAATCGGGTGTTCGAACCGTCGCTGAACATCTGGGAAGCTGGCCGGACACCCAACCCTGATGTATGGTGCAATAGGTTGGTGTCTCCTTACAGTTCCATGTTGTTGTTTTGTGACTTGTCATTGTAAAGAGAAATCAAGTTTGGTGCACTGTTTGAGCGGCTGCCTATGGAGGACGAAAAGGCTTGGTTCGCCACAGGTAATACCCTTTCTTACACGCTCCCCCCCCTCTTCGTTCTTATATATGTCAAGGTCACTACGCACGCAAAACCTGGTGCAATCATCCTCGCCCACGACCACAACTTCGCTGTGCCAAGGATCCCATCAAGGACCAGTCCTACTACCTGTCGTCCATCTCCGAGCAGAGCCTCGCTCGAACTCTCTTTCCAATCGGTGATTTCACAAAAGCACAAGTGCGCGATCTGGCTAAGAAATACGATTTACCGACTGCAGAACGACCTGAGAGCATGGGGCTCTGTTTCATTGGCGAGAAAACTCGATTCCGGGATTTCCTCTCTTCGTACCTTCCTCCCAATCCTGGTCCTATCTGTGACCATGTCACCCAGAAGCGGGTAGGCACGCACCAAGGTCTTTGGTCCTACACTGTTGGTCAGAAAGCCAGGATACCGGGAATGTCTGAAAAGTTATTCGTGTCTGGTAAAGATGAAAATGCGAACATCATTTTCGTCGTCCCCGGGGGGTGAGTTTTGCCCACATCCAGTTTAACGGCTACTTGACCTCCTGATTAGGGACCATCCTCTATTATTAAGGAATACGTATCGGCCAGTAGGATGGAAGACGATCTGGGCAGATTCACCGATTCCTGGAGAGGCATTCCGCGGGATGACGAAAATTCGACACCGTCAACCGTTGGTTCCCTGTACCGTATCTTGGTAAGACTGCATCTAGTGCATAATCCCGACTCATCTTCCTCAGTGACGAGCACGGACTTTTGATTACGACAGACATCCCTCAGAAAGGCGTCGCTACTGGCCAAGTAATTGCTGTTTGGGACGGTGATTGGTGCCTGGGTTGCGGGCTTGTCAGCTCTACATCTTATGTAGGAGAGCTCCGCCTGCAGGAGCGGGCATCCGCATCCTCTTCCGAAGAGAAGAGCGGAAATTACACCGAGAGAATGGAGTCTCGATATGTACCACCTAAACGAAGCAGTCCCAAGTGCCAGTTCCCATCATCTTCACGGCTTTCCTATGGCTGATCGCTTTGTAGAACGCGCTGCGGGAAGGAGTGGAGTAAGATGTATCCCGACGGGACTGTAGGCGCCTTTCAAGCGCATTGGAACTCTTTAACTCAAGAGCAAAAAGACGTACGCACATCGTGAAAATGGTGGTTCGTAGCTGATTCCATGTGTCCCACGCGTAGTTTTATCAGCGCAAAGACAAGATACTGGTGAATGTCCACAGGTAATATGACTGTTCGAGACATGGCCGAAGACGTTTGACAAACGTCAGCGTTAACCGTTATTGATGGGGGTCGGGATAACTTGTATTCATGTAGCAGCGCCGCGGGGTCAAGGAGGAGTATAAAATCCATTCCCGAGTTCTGTAGCATGTACATGATTTCGATACAATGGCTGTTTTTTGACTAACGAAATGCTTGGCCATTCCATCAATGAATACTCCACAACACTAACAAGTTTGCTCACCTCATGCTCTACTGCGTCAACATAAAGTTCCTATCCCGTATCTTCTGCTTATTCTCCAGCCTCCGCTTATACCGCTCTGCCTTCCCCCCAGGTCCATCATCCGGTATCACTCGCGGCTCCAACAGCGTCCATAGCCAATCCGGGTATTCTTCATCTGGCATCGCGAGAACGGGCTCTTGGCCTTTGAGGTAATTCAATCCTGTTAGGACCGTGTCAGCCGCGCAGGAAGATTTGGGTGTTGCTGGAAATGGATGATGAATGAAAAAGAGTGTCAGTCGAAACGAGGGGGAGCGTACCTGACTGTGCAGGTTTCTTGACGGCAGTAGAAGGTTCTGAGTACCGCCGAATCTGGATGAGGGTATGTGGTATACGGCGTAGGGAACAGGCTTGGGAAAACATTGTTGGGGGATGGGTCGCAAGAAATAAATTGGAAATATCCTTCTATATCGGGTCGTGTCGTCGGATGGTGCCGAACGCCGGCTTGTAGAGCATCGTTATTTTGACACCGCCGTACCATAACTTGGTTTCTTACTACCACCATCCATACACAGAATATACCTCGTTTGAGTCGCTCGCACCACTACATTCCAACTTCTCTCCGACTGCTGTGCCTATTTTGCAACACTCGGCCGTCAACATGAAACGCTGTATGCCTTCCAAACATAAGAACGATGGTTACTAGCGAGGCTTACTAGCCGCATTATACGCAGTATCACAACGCATAGAATTGGGTGGGAACGATTTGCGCTTTGACGTCGCTACTGTCCTAAAAAGGGCTCTTCATTGTAGTCACCTGGCCAGATGGCCGAAAACAAAACAAGAACCTTTTCTCCCATCATTTCAAGGCTATTGTTCTTTTCACATTGTTGCAGTATGGACCGAGACTTGCGCCGCGCAACGACGCCCGCTGCGTACAAACAGCGAAATTACGCTATTATCTCCGTTCCTATAAAGCCCTCGAAGGGACCCATTGTCGTCTGATTTCATTCCCCTTCTCTTTCACGACTTTGGTGCTGGGACGCCTTCGTTAGATCTTCACCTGTACATCTGTGCACTGACTTGCTCCATTCTCTTCACTGTCATTCACTTTCTTACACACTAAACTCTGAAAATAATGCTGCCACCTCGAGCGCGTGAGTGACTACAGAATCTTATATCTATGTGTACTTATCTCAGGACAGTACTTTTCTACGGCCTCAATGCTGTCCGGTTCCTCAGCGTCATCTCCCTCATACTTGTATTCTCGAGCACAATAACTGTTATGGTCCACAATGTCAAGGCTTTTAACACGTTCGAAGCTAACCGCGGCAGTGACTCTGAGTTGGAGGACTGCGATTACATCGAGTTGGTATTGTTATATGGGCTCTCTCTGACTGCCGCTGACTTTTTTTTTTTTTTTTTTACAGAGGCAGTACGATTCCCAATCAAGCCGCTGGGGTCTTCTGGGCTATGGTATCCAGCCTACTTATAATATTCCAGACCATCGTCCTCCTTTGTAAGCCTATTTTTTGATCAACAATCTCCTAGTAACTTATCCTGTGTCGCAGTGTCTGAAGTAGAATGGCCTTCAGTCTTTTTTGAACGTTTCTTCCCCGTTCTCGGACTCGGATTCGGACTCGGTGCTCTCGGAATCTTTCAATGCCTGTAAGTCTTATTGTACATCATTCGAAAAGTTTTTTGACAGGCGGCGTTTATAGGATTGGGGCCCAGATTCTCTCACATCATGTCGACGACTTTACCCTCGTGTCTGCTTTCCTTTTGTTCTCCATTGGTTGCCTGAACATGCTGCTCGGGCTCATATTCCGTGAATCCGCCAAGGAGAAGCGGTCTATCAGTGCATGGCGTTCGGGTGCCAAGGGGATACTCCCCACGTCCCGGGATAACCACCCCGTCTTCGTCAATGCGTCTCCTTCATTTGTGGGGAATACATTTGCTGGGGACGAAAAGGCCCAGCCAGCTTCGGCATTTGGCTCGTTCAGGAGCACGGACAAGGCTTCGTTCGGATTCGGTCGACAGGGCGAGAAGGCAGCTGGGTTGAGAGGATTCATCCTCCAGAGACCTGACGAAGCCTTACCGCGCTATGCGACACCTTCCCCTACTCCACCCGCTCCCGTTCCCGTTAGCCTCTCTCGCAGTCCGTCGACGCGGTCGTCGACTTCCAGTTTTTCTTCCCCGTACCGGCCTAGCGTCGCAACGCATGCCATGCGGGACTCGCAGGAAGTATCTGAACCGCCGGTGTTCAGGTCGAGTCCTACTGCGTTGTAAAGTTGTCACGACGACGGACGTTCTTACGCCCTTCATGATATGTATTCATACACAGCAACGTAATGATATTCTCCGTAGAATCACTGTATTTTACTCTTACCTCTGTAGTCAAACTTGGACTGTATATACTACTTACAATTTCTAACACCACCAAAAGTAAACTGAGGTTCGAGTGAAGGTGCAGAAAGGGACTGTTTAGGCAACATTAATGGATCCTACACGCGATGTCCAATTCACCTGTGGACATGAATCAATTTTTGCCCAATTTGAGAGATGAGGGTGTCAAATAGACCTCGACGAGCAGACAGCAGATAGTTGGTCATCCACGTCGCGCCGTAATGCCTCATAACGACATCTAGGTAACATCCAGTTAGACCTGGTTGCTGGCCCTGCCTGCGGATCCCCCAGGTCAGCTCATTTAGATCGGCAACCATGTCCTCAGTGGGACAATAAACGAGACAAAGAGATCCTTCACTAATGACCCAGTGAATAAAATGGAAATGAATGTCAATATGTTTCATTTGAGCATGGTACTGGTGGTCCTTTGAGAGCACAATGGCTGATTGGTTGTCTGAGAATAATGTCATAGCCCCAGTAATTGGGGAGAAAACTTGGGATAGCAGGCTGCAAAGCCAGAGTCCTTCCTTTGAATCATGTGTAGCAGCCACATACTCTGATTCTGTGGTTGAGAGTGAGACAATTTCCTGCTTCTTAGATGACCATGAGACAGCTCTACCATTCAACATGAAAGCATACCCAGTAATAGCATGCCTATCCTCAGCCATGCTCTCATCTGCATCCACATATCCTTGCAAAAATCTCTCATTTCCCCCAAACATCAACCAGTAGTCTCTCATGCTCTTCAGACACTTGAAGATGTGCTTTGCAGCTCTCCAATGAGCTTCTGCAGGTGCTGATGAAAATTTCGAGATGGTTGTTGTGAATATGATATCAAGGTGAGTTCCAAGCATAATCCAGATCAAGGAACCAACAGACTCACTGTAAGAGATGTCTCTCATGGCTGCAATCTCCTGGGTAGAGGCTGGTGCAGGAAAAAAAGACAAGCAGAGATTAGTATTCATTGGCATGGATACTGGCTTGAGATCCTCAAAGCCATAGTGATGAACAATGGTATTGATATATGAGCATTGTGAGAGGGAAATAGAGTGTGACTCACAATCTTGATGCCAAGGATCCAGTGTAACTTGCCCAAGTCCATGACCCCCATGTATTTTGCCATCCCTTTCTTTACATCTTGTACCAGCTGCAGCAATGATGCAACACTTGTGCAGTCAAATTTCAACCTTCCTGCTTGTAAAACACAGTCTGACCAATGTTACACTGCTTGAATCTCAACTTCTCAACCAAAATCTCAATGAGACATTGATACCAGTGATGGCCACTCTGCTTCAAACCATACATAGTCTTTACAAGGCAGCAGACTTGCTCAGGATGAGAGTCAGGCTCAGGATAGCCAGAAGGTTGGTGCATATAGATGATTTCTTCATTAGTGAGCTTTCTGTTTAAGTATATGCCTTTGATATCAACCTGATGGAGCTTCAAATTAAGTGCAGTGGCCATGGTGAATATGGAATGAATGGATGCAAGTCTTGCAACAGAAGCACAAGTGTCAAAGTAGTTGACATCAGAAACTTGTAAGAACCCTTGTGCTATCAGATGAGTCTTGAACTTGACTATTCCTCTCTTAGCATCCTTCTTAATTTGAAAGACTCACTTTGAGCCCACAACATTTGCTCCAACTGGCTTGTCCACAATTTCCCAAGTCTCTGCAGCCTTCAGTGTTGTGATCTCTTTCAGGATTGCACCTTCTCACAAAGGCCAGTCAAGTTGATGCATTGCTTCAGCTAGACTGCATGGCTCTAGAGCCTCAGCTTCTGCTGTCACTATGGCCATTGCATACTTCTTGAAGAAATCCTCATCTTCAAGCAGCATCAACCAATCTGCTTCTCTCTCCCTCTCAAACTCTTGAGGTATGTTGTTTTCATTGATGGTTGATAACTGAACATCAAGGGGTATAACAGAGTCACTTGAGCATGTCAATATGCTACCTTTGCCAGATATGAGGTTTAACACCCACTGGCTAGGCTTTTGAGCACATCAAAAACAGATTTCTTCAATTGTGAGTTGGACCATATGCTGGGCTTTAGGAATAAATATCATCTGTGATGGCATTGCAGTAGATGGTTCAGACTGAGCATTTGACATTGACAGAATCTCATGTAACTCCATATCTTCCTCTTTCTTGAGATTGATGTGAGTCATATTGAAATAGATATTTTGCTTGATAGACACCATCTTGCTCTCTGGCCAGTAGATATGGGATCTATTACCTATTTCATCAAATCTGATCCACTGACTCTCATGTACATAGCCACCTAACTTCATAGCCTTGGTTTCAAGGTGTACCTAGCACTTCTCTCTCCATTCTTGTAACTCTTTTAGATCAAGCTTCTTTTTTGTGACTATCTCATAGGATGTCTTGCCATTCAGGGCCTTCATTGATGTTCTGTTAAGAATCCAAACAGCATGGCAAACAGTCTCAGCCTATAGAAAGCAGGATAAGCTGCTTGAATGCAGCATAGCTCTGACCTTTTCAATAACCATGCAATTATACCTTTCAGCCATCCCATTGTGCTGTGGTGTATTATACACAGTCATCTTTCTTGCTATGCCAGCATTTCTTAGATGCAAGACAAATGTCTTGTCAATATATTCACCTCCACAGTCTGAATGGAGGATTTTTACAGGACATTCATGCTGGGTGCAGTTGCAAGCTTTATAGACTTTGTATGCCATCAAAGCTTCACTCATCTAGCATAAAAACTTGAGATAAGCCCAATGAGTGCTGTCATCAATGAATGAGATGAAGTAATGGTGTTTATATAGAGATTCCACAGGTGCAGGTCCCCATAAATCAGAGTGAATTTCATCTCTAATGTCAGTTGCACATTCTCTCTCTTGAGCCTTAGATACTGGCTTTTATGTAGTCTTACAACACATGACTTGCAGAACTGTGATTCTCTAGATGACTTGTCAAGCTTTATCTCTGTCATGAAGCTCTTCTCAACCAGATGACAAGCAACTTCAGGTGAAATATGATCCATATGGTGATGCAATTGGTCCAAGATAAGCATCTCCTCAGCTGCTCCAGCAGAATCTCTCTTATGATGAATCTGATAGAGGCCACCATCATCCTTGGGGAAAACTCCAACTATCTTTCCATCTGATGCATGAATGGTGCATTTTCTGCCACTAAAAATCAACTTGAAACCAAGATCATTAAGTTAGCCAACTGAGATGAATGTATAGCCAACTTCAGGAGAGTATATGATCTCAGTGAGTTGCAGGTTACTCACATTTGTGCTATTTGGCACATCAATACTCATCTCACCTTTTCTGGCTGCAGAAAATTTTTGAGTGTTTGCAGCATAGAATGCCTTAGGTAAGACAGACTGGAATGAGTTGAAATTCTCACAGTAAGAGAAAATATGGCATGTACAGTGGGAGTCATAGAGTTCAGTATGAACTTAGTCATTAGATGAGTTTACAGCATTAATAACAGCTGTGACTGACTCCTCAGAAGCAGATACTTCCTTCAAAGTCAGCATGCTGAATGTGGCATCTGATTGCCTGTTAACAAAGGGGTTTATATCACTCCAGTCAATATCTGAGGACAACCCACTGCTCAGCTCATCTCAGGACTCATCACCAACCTCTGAAAAAAGGTCAGCACTATTATCTTCATTCTCTGAGTCCTCTGACAAGCTCTTGACTTTGGATTCATCTGACTCAGAAACTGCAGCCAGCAATGGCATGTCATTATCATCATCAACTCCAAAAGCATCACTGGCTTTCCAGTCAGAATCCAATAATTCTTTGGCCATGTTGGTTATTTCTCCCTTTGATTCAGAAGCCTTGCTGTTATTGTCTGATGACTTCTTCTCCAGGCATTTATTTTGGAAGTGCTCTTTCTTTCTGCATCCCCAGCATAATTTTTTGCTGGAAAAGTGAATGTTTGCCAATAATGCTATCACTGCCTTTCATGACTGCCAGATAGGCCTCTTTTAAACTATAGCCATTGAGATGATAGTCTTAAAGAGGGGGTAATGTTATGATTTTTTCACTTATCTTATCTTATCAAGTGCCTATCTAATCACAGACACCTACTTCCCATCTATCTGGCTGGACCAGTAACTATAAATATACTAGATGACTCATAACCAATGCTTTGATAACAGATAGTATTTAATTGTTTTATGCACATACTACATGCTCTTTAGTTTCAGACCACAGATAGACATAATAAGTAGGACTATATTTATCATACTCAAAAACATATATAAGTAGCATAGCTCTTGCTATGGTAGACTCAGCTTTGAGCTAAAGTTTATTTTATATCGTTAACTCTCAAGCCTACTTAAACATGGTCTTGCTCTTCACATCAGTGGATCACTCATAATAGACTCTAGTGTGACTGTATGAATACAATATAGTGCTGGTTTATCACAAAACCTACTCACATGATGCTTGAGTCTAACAATCAGCTCAGAGCTTAACCTGCCTTTCTCTCAGCTAATGCTGAGAGTACCACATAGAATCCACCCTTTACTTTGCTATCACAGTTTTCATCTCTGCCTTCATAGCAATCCCACTTTTCACTTATACCTCCTACATTTATAGGTGGAAAATATATGACTGATACCACCAGCTACTAGATCATTGGAACACCTATAGACAGAATACTCAGCTTCCTCAGACCAGCTCTTGTTCTTGCTGCCAATATAGAATCATTGGCAGATATGAGTTTGAAACAATCAGGCTTACAGTCCATCTTCTTTGCTGGATTAAAGAGATCTGCATTCCAGATCAGCAGGAAATTCTGCTTTCTGCAGATGATACAGAGATTGATACTATGAATGTCAGCACTAAAGGAGAAGACATCCTCTGAAGAGAGTATGGCCAAGAAGCACTATCAGCCAAGGTTTCCATTGAAGGCCCTAATGACCAATGACCAGGCCTGACAGAATATAGCTAGTCAGCAAGCCCTCCAGCTCTACATACATTTGTCAGCTCTTCTGAGTGTACCAGCAGCCTCATTGTCATCTCTGATAATAATAGTGACCCTCCACCATCATGATCATATGCTTGTCAAACTCATAGAACTCCTCTTTCTTTCTGATGGCTCTGCTTCCAAAGTCTCCAATGTCACTATTAGAGATGACAGCAAAGTCCCCTGTGGATCAGTATCATAATGAGTTTTGAGCAAGGAGAAAACTCCTCCTTCTTTCTACTCCTCTCTCTGAAGCCTTGAGGCTCTTCTCTGTCCAACCATAAGGGCTGCTGATGAAGCCCTACAAACTGTATGAGAGACAGTCACTCACCATCAGGCTGCCTCCCTTGAATGATGAAAGTGAAGGTGGCTGAAGATCTGACAATAATGAGAACAGAAGCTGAAACAAAAATTCAACATATGATGTCTGGAGCATAAACTTTTTGCTACCTTCTTCTATGCCCTTATACTCTGCACCACCTCAGCTTGCACCTATGAACAACAATCTGTGAGCCCAGTCACCTTATCCCACACTCTTTCTCAACAGATTGAGGAACCAGTTACCTTCACTTGAGTCCTTACCACCACAGGTGGTATGAACAAATATATTCAGTGAATTCACTGGATGGAGGAGCTCAATCTCTAAGGCCACTATCAGACTCAGAAGAAATATGATGCCAGAAGGGCCTGACTTGAGCAGGAGGCTTGATAAATTCATAAGAAAATAGAATGAGAAGGAAGAGAGGAAATGACTTGATGAGGAGTATTAGAGAGAGACAGCATACACCCTGCCCACTGAGGCATTGTTCTACATATTGGATTTAGGACACTGATAAGCACAGCTGATCTGAGTGAGTGAACAAGAAGAAAATTTTCAGTATAGCATTACAGCCATTGCTGTTTTTAAGTTCAATATGCAATATCTCTCTTATGCTTACCAGGCACCCTCTCTTTATAAAATTCAGTGGAGACCTGAATCCATGCCAGCAAGTCTCTCATCTCAGCCCAACATCCTGAATCTCTGGGCCTATGGACTTGGCCTTTAAGTTGGTTAAGGTGACAGATTGACAGAACCTGCCAGACCATCTGGCAACATGACAGAACTCTCAAGAAAAGAAAAAGAATCCAAGAAACCTCTACTGCTACCACTGCCACTATTGCCTTTAATACTATTAAGTCTGGCAAGCTCAGCATACACTCTGGCTGATAACTCAAGTCTGTAGTTACTCTTGTGACTCTCTCTCTTCTCTCTTCTCTCAAAGTTTGAACTGCCAAAACCCCTTTGACAATCTACAGGCACCATGAGAGATGATCTCTCTTGGCCTGCCTGCAAATCCAACCTAGTCTAGGAATCAGAAATGTTTGAAGGAGTCTATAAAGATCTCAATAGGTTCATTGCAGACTGCAAATTATACTTTGAAGTACACTGTGTGTATCTGAGCCTAGACTCTCATCAGATCACCTTTGTGGTCTTCTATTTCTCTGAGAAAGCCAAGGACTAGTAGATGCTCTGACAACCAAAATATTTCAGTCAAAGCCAAGGGCATTACTGATTCCCCTCTTGAAAGAAATTCTAGAAGGATCTTTGTGCAAAATTCTCTGATCCCACTATCACTGAAGTATATCAAAATAAAATATACAAGCTCTGATAAAAATCATGAATGGCCACTAAATACTTCCAAGATCTCAAATAGGAGGCTAAGCCTGCAAATCTCTTGAATGACAAGGCTGACTGAGAGCATCTGATAATCACCTTTAAACAAGATGTCTATCAGAGCTACATCAGAATGATTAGCATCATTGGTATAAATATGCTAAAGAGATACAAACAGTGGAAGGAAAAGGTGGAAATCATGAATTGAAAATGACAGTGCAAGCAGATGTAGGATATCAGAATCTTCACTGGCAATAGATATCAAACTCTAGAGAAGAAGAAAGAGTCCCCATCATTGGGACACAAGCCTTCTATTCATTCTATCTCTGGTGAGAAAACAACTGGAACTGGCACCACCTTCACTGGACAGAAAAAGCTGATGGACATCAATTGGATGAAGAAAGAGAGAAAGTACTTTAATTGTAATGAGAAGAGACACTTGGTAAAGAACTGCCTGAAGAAGAGAGCATGTGAAGAGATATATGCACAGATTGAGAAGCTGCAGAAGGAAGTAGATGCCATAGAAGAACCAAGTGGCAAGGACACAAAGATTGATAAAGTAAAAGATGAGGCTGCCAAGTGAGTGATTCCACTTTCATGGCCCATAAATTTAATGGTGTGCCCTCAGTAGCTGCTGGTCAGACTTATAATATATTTATAGATAACTGTAAATTACAAATACATTCAAATATACCTACTTTGATCTTAGCATCAACTCTATCTAAGAAATTATAACAAACAACAAACTAAACTCAACTGTTAGAAGGCTGAACAAGAGAAGTGTTAGACTCAAGTTGCACATGATCAAAACATGTGATAAACAAGCATGGTTTCATATTTGAACTGTCCACTAGAGTTCACTTATTGTGCTTTGTTGACCAAATGCCTCAAGACCTTTGCAAGTAAGCTTAAGAATAAAGTGAGATAGAATAAAATTTAGCTTGAAGCTGGAGTTATATCAGCAAGAGCCATCCTACTTATATACTACAATCTATATTGATATAAATAATACTACCTATTGTGTCTGTTCTAGTCATTATGCTCTTTGTTCTTGGGCATCATTATTATCTACAAAAGAGTGATTGTGTGTTGTCAAGTGTTGTTATCATGTTAAAAGACAATGACTGATCTGGCTTGTTGTGCTGACTAAGCTGATCCCACATTCTTAAGCACTGAGGTTGGTGCCCTGACTAAGCATGAATAGGAGTTAAAACAAAAAAAAAGTGGAAAAATCATAATATTACCCCCTTCTTAAGACTATCATCTTGATGGCTTAATTTAGAGATAATTTATAGTCCTATATAGCCTCATCTGCATTCATTTATTTTTCATTTACCCATTGGTTAGATTCAAGGCTGTAGCCCATCCAACTAATGAGATAATTGACTATTGTTGTTGATTCTCCACTATGTGCATATATCTTTTGCAGTTAGTGGTTAAGGACTTGATTGATTTTATGATGTTCTTCTTTGTCAATGAGGTTGGTGGGAGGCAGAGATGGTTGTTGTTGGTTCAGGAATGCTGATGCAATAAAGAGAGTGAGAAGTGATTCATTGAAAATGTCAGACCTTTTAATTAACTGGGAGTTGAAGTTTGTATGCAGAAGCTCTGACTTTTATGATGACTGGAAATAGTCCTATACATTTGTTGTCCAGTTTCTGTTTGGAATGAGGGAGATGGAGATTGGTTGTGTCCAACCAAACTTTGTTGTTAATGTTATATATGCAAGCCAGCATGCAATGTTTGTCATATTACTTTTTCATAAAAACTGCTGCCTTCTCAAGAGCAGTGTGAGTTTCATTATGGATCTTGGTCATGGTGGAGGCAAAGTTAGAGGAGGTGGATGTGGTGGTATAGACACATTGAATATAGAAGACATTGGAATGATAGCCATAGTTTATGAAGAACAGTGTTTTACTAGTGGTAGAGTGAATCCAGTTATTATGTTGAAAGGCTGCAAAAGCAAGCCAACCAACCCAGTCATCCTGTCAATAGTTAATGAAGAGTCAAAGATACTTTTTGATCTCTTGATTAACCCTCTCTGTTTGCCTGTTCATTTGGAGATGGTAGGCAGTTGATATGTTTTGTTGGATGTTAAAGAGGTGATATAAGTCATCAAGGAATTTCAAGACAAATTGGAGACCTCTGTCTGAAATGACCACTTGAAGCATTTCATATTTAGTATAAATCTTGTCTCAGAGGATCTTGGCCCAGCCTTCTGATGTTAACTCAGTCAAGCATGCAATGAGAATGATGATCTTAGAGAAGTGATTAACTATAATGAGGATCACATTATAGCTATTACATTCTGACAGACCAGTGACTATATCTATGGAGATATGGGTTCATGGTGATCCAGGTATTTCATTTGGATATAAAGGAGCAGCCCAAGGTTGTGTTGTTGATTTTTTCTGCTGGCAGACTTCACATCCTTTGACATAGCATTCAATGTCTTGGCCAGTTTTAGCCACTAGTATTCACAGAGAACCAATTCTTTAGTCTTTAAAATGCCTGGGTGTTCAGCTGTGGCATAATCATGGCAAGTTGCAATGATTTTCCCTCAAAGATGTTCATCTCTCAGAATGTAAATCTGGTTGTTGTAACAGATCAAGCCTTCTTCTTTGATCAATCCTCATTTGTGATTGAGTGATGGCATGATTTATTGGTCCAATTTGGATGTATTCTATGTCATGCTCTTGATTTATTTGTGGATTTCTTTCTCTATCAGCATGATTATTGCTCTGAAGTTGTTAAGCCCAAATTCCACATGACTAGAGACACATGATAAACTGACAGAACCTCGCACTTCAGGTTATACTGTCAGAGTCCACTTGTGTGTGTCTAGCGTTGTGTTGTCAAGGTGTTTGCAGTTCGCTCGAGATAAGATGGTGAAGTAAAACTTTAGTTCAAGACTGGGGTATTACAGCGAGAACTAAGCTACTTAAATACTGTTCTGTTATCATGCTATAAATAACCATTCACAAAAGATTTTGTCTGTCGTAGAGCTGTTACCCCTGCTGTTGCCAGGCTCTCCACAAAAGCTGTTGTCTTGCTGCAGAGCTGTAGTCATGCACTGCAGTTTGAGGACAAAAGGAGCATTGTCTCTCCCTTCACAGTGTATAGCATTATGATAGAAGAGTGACCAACTGGGGTGCTGAGCTAAGCGTTCTCATAGTCTTCAAGTGCTGGTTTAGGCACCCTGACTAAGCAAGGATAGAGGTCATTTCTGAGGAAAAAGAAAAGAAAATAGAAAAAAAAATAGAAAGAAAATAGGAAAAATCATAACATTACCCCCTTCTTAAGACCATCATCCTGATGGTCTGGTTAGGGTAAGTCATCCTGTCCAGCAGGAGATGGCCGATCTGCTGGGCTGCTTGTTGGTTTCCAGGCCAGTTTTGGACAGGTCAAAGGCATAGCACATTGCTCTTCGCTGTATGTCTGCACCATTTCTGGCTTGTCCATCGGACTGCCATCTTCATCATCCTCTGCTCTCTGTTTTCTGGTATTGCCAGATTGGTTGAAGTAATGGACAGAGTCATCTCCATCATCCTCTGTAACATGTCCTCTGCTGGCTGCAGGTTGATTGATGTATATCTGGCTAGATGTCATCTTCCTTCTGCATTTTGCTGCATCTGTTTTTGCAGGTATAATGTTGAACATGACCCCCTTCACCTCCAATTTATTGATCCTATGTTCGTAGTCATGAATGGCATCCTTCGCATTCATATATTTTTCATTGACCCATTGGTTTGATTCCGGTCCATAGCCTTTCCAGCTGACTAGATAGTCAACAGTTGTTTTCATGCCTCCACCTCAGGCTTTAACCTTCCGCATTTTATGGTTTAGCATTTCGTCGATTTTGTAATGTTCTTCATTATCGATTAGTTCTGGTGGTGGTAGAGGTGGTTTTCCTTGGTTTGGAAAGGCTAGTGCCATGTATGGTGTCAATAATGTTTCATTGAATATGTTATGGATCCTCCAGGTTGCTGGCAGTTGCAATTTGTATGCGGATTTACCAATCTTGGCTAGGATTTTAAATGGACCTGTTCACTTGTCTGCCAGTT